AGATGAAGAGAGAGAGAGAGGTAGGGAGGGAGGAATGGAAAGAAATTGGAGAGGAGAGGGAAACAGACAGAGTTAGATGAAGAGAGAGAGAGAGAGAGAGGTAGGGAGGGAGGAATGGAAAGAAATTGAAGAGGGGATGGAAACGGACAAAGAAGAGAGAGAGAGAGAGAGAAGGAGAGAAAGAGAGAGGGGGGAGGGAGAGATAATTCAAGAGAAGAAAAAAAATTTGATATGAAATATCTTTGTGTGCTGAGAACCAGAACATTGTTAACCAACTCTTGTTCATGTAGATCAACATTTAAAACGTTTAAAGCGTCCTTCTGGCCTTCACAGACGATTTGTCTTTGATAGAAAGCTGAGAACCAGAACATTGTTAACCAACTCTTGTTCATGTAGATCAACATTTAAAACGTTTAAAGCATCCTTCTGGCCTTCACAGACGATTTGTCTTTGATAGAAAGTTACATTACTACAGCATTTATAGCTCACATCACTATTATGTTTGTAGAAGGTCACATGAATTTCCAATGAGCCATTACTCTTTGAAAGTGCAACAAGTGTGGGATGATAATGTGTGAAGTTGTGGCATCAATTCCATTTATTTCTCATGCATGGTTAATCTGGATGAGTATTAATAGTCCATCGATACTTCTCCCGCAGTCCCCTTGGTATGTCTCCATCCTAGCTCATCACCATTTTCATCACCCACATAAAGTGGTTGCAACCTCAAAGAGAACTGGTCTTAGAAATGTCATCATTACCAAACCAAAGATATTACTGTATCTTGGTCATGGTCATTCAGTGAATCTTGCTTTTATAGCAACCACCTGCATAGAAAGACCACCTGTCTATAGAGACTACACTTTCTGTTTCCTGTGAATAGTATTTTTTAATTGAAATGTTTACTAAAGGAACCAATTGTTGTCTCCCTTGAATTGTCTTTAAAAAAGGTAATACAAAGTTTTGGTATGGGCCGGGGTCATGAATTTGATTCAAATGAACATATTGAAAGCATATGCGATCCTACAATATTCAATGATCGTTTTCGCGGTTGAAATAGAGCCTAAAGTGATGAAATTGTGAATAAAAAACTCTTATATTGTAAACATGGGTGTCGATCCCGGGGGGGATGGGGGGGATATATCCCCCCCAATATTTCAGGTGGGGGGGATGGCCTGTACAATCATCCCCCCCAATAATTCACCATACAAAATTTTAAAAAATGAAGAAAAAAATTAATGAAGAGAGCACAATGAGAGTAGTTAATGGTTATTACTCGCAAGATGACCATCAATATACACATTTTGCTATATCATTTTCATAATACATACGTAAATGAGACAACCGTACATGGATATGAGACAAGGATAAATTGAATTCTCGCTCATACGGCTTCATCAGGAATTGATGAATGTATTCAATTTATTCAATCAACAGCAACATAAAAATGCAATGCGCCAAATGCAAAGCCGCAGCGTTTAAAAGCAACAAGCTAATTAGCTAAATGTATAAAGCGCGAAGCGCAAAAGTGCAAAAAAGAAGTACAGAGTGGGAGAAAGAGATAATGAGAGACAGAGAGGATACACGTGCGTAGCCAGGGGGGCGGTGGGGCGGTCGTCCCCCCCAAAAAAAAAACCGCCGGCCAAAAAAGAGATAGAGAGAAAGAAGAAAGGAAGAGGACGTAGGAAGAAAAGGGATTAAGAGTTGGAAACGGTACAACGAATCGTCTTCTTTCTCTAATAATGTAATGAAACCTCAAAGCTTCAGCGCTACGCGCGGGAAGGGGGGAGGGAATGAATTAAGACAAGGATTAAGAGTCGAGAACGGTACAACGAATCGTCTTCTTTCTCTAATAATTTAAAGAAACGTCAAAAGAAACTGAATTTAGACAAGGATTAAGAGTCGAGAACGGTACAACGAATCGTCTTCTTTCTCCAATAATTTAATGAAATGTCAAAGCTTCCGCGCTTCGCGCGTGAATGGGGGGGGGGGGGAGTACTGAATTCAGACAAGGATTAAGAGTCCAAAATGGTACAACGAATCGTCTTCTTTCTTTAATAATTTAATGAAACGTCAGGGCTTCCGCGCTACGCGCGGAGGAAGGGGAACTTGATTCAAACAAGGATTAAGAGTCGAGAACGGTACAACGAATTGGCTACTTTCTCTAATAATTTAGTGAAACATTAAAGCTTCCGCGCTTCGCGTGACGGGGGAAAACTCCCTCCCTGCACCCATCCCCCTAGGGAGCGCGCTTTGCGTGCTCACTACCGCCCCCTAAAATAAAATCCTCGCTACGCGCTTGAGAGGATAATAACCCAGGTAGCAAGCCCATATTCTCTGAAATGTTATCTTTATTGAGGGTGACTTGAAAAAGTTAATAACTTGGAAGGGAGGGGTGCAACCCGCTTCACACGCTTCTACCTCATGGTTGCTTTGATCCATTGCCGAAAATATTTTGGCACCTATCATCCCCCCCAACCACAGATACAAATCGACACCGTTGATTGTAAAGCTCCCTCTCAAGATTGATATTACTTTAGCTTCAAAACAATGTTTTTTGACTAAAATTGACCGACTTTCTATTCCAGTTTGGAAATTATATATCAGAACTGCATATTCCAAGATTTTCATTGTCGCAGCTACCATTGTATGACCGTAGGAGTATTTGAAATTTATCAGGAGCACCGATAAATTTGATTATTTAAATTTCTCGAAAGCAGAATGTTATAGGGGCTAAATTTTCTAGTGCTTATAATACATCCACAGGGGCATCCAAATATATCAACATTTTAAAGAATTAATATCCATCCAATTTTTAAAATTTCCCCAACCTTTGCATTACCTTTAATATGACGTTTCACTAAATGTATCACCACCTTCTACTGCCCATGACAGTTTCTACAATCTCCTAGAAGGCACTTCAAATAAAATATAATTGGAATCAATCATTGCAACACAAAACTGATGAATGGAAATTGGATTGGTAGAGCAGAAAAACAGCCTTGCGGCCGAAAGCAGTTTTTTTTCTTCAAATCACCATATTGAAAGAAATAAAATAACCAACCAACAAACCCACACTGCTTCAGTCACTCTTCAGATTCATCAATAGCCCAGAGGTTGTATGTAGGAGGCATTAATAAGCTATTGGTTGTGATTTGAATGTCATCAAATGCCATATTTTGCATTGGATAATTTGAATTCTCAATGAAGCTCAAGAACGGTTCTTGTTGGGTTGTATTTATAGTAAAGGCCATGCGGTTACTCCTACATGGGAGAATCACGCCCCCGTTTAATTGGAGATGTACCGAGGTTTATGGGGGAGGAATTTAAGACAGGGCAGAAAAGGTTAGGTCATGGATTTAGGTTCCCAAGTTATTGGGATATTTCATGGATCTCAACATCGTAATTGCTTCTTAAGAGCTTTGTAAATTTTAGGAGAATATACGTTTTTAATATATCACTAATAGTTATTCAGAATATCTATACCAAATGATGCAATTGCTATATACTCCTTTCTGTTATCAATGAAACACCATTTATGCTTTTGCTTATGATTATCCTTTTTTAAAGATATATTTTCGTTTTTTATCTAGTAAATATAATGGTATAATATCGGGATTGTGCACCGGTATGGCATATATGAAATAGAAAGAAAGAATGATACGGTTGAAAAGTTTACCTGAGGCAGTAAAATATTTACATCTAACAGAGAAAATACTTGAAACGTTCATTTTTCAGAACGTAAGGCTATCAAAACATAAGCTGCGTAGACATATCTCAATACAAAAGAAAGAAAATGGTGACAATCAGACAAAATCTCAGCTGATAAATACATGTAGTACATTAACATCTAAGGTAGATCATCATGATAATGTGTGTTGTGTTATTCCTTGACTTTGTAAAAACAAAGATGCTTTTAGTTCTGAGTAGAGTACCCGAGGTGATAGGTCATAACATGTTTTTGTAAAGTGGCATTCATAGTAGTAGTAGTACATTAGCTCAGATGTGAAAAAGATGCCCTTTCTGGGCCCATCACAGTGTAAACAAGTAGAGGGAGCTTCTATTTACTTCCCGATATCAATTTTATTTTTTTCTACAGTGCATTCAGACATGAAAATAATGAAAATTTCACTCATTTCTGTGCATCCGCCAAATTCATGTCAATGGCGTGGCGCAGTGAAAAAAATACACTGGGCTCAGGGCGAAGTAGCCCCCAAAATGCCCAAAAGAGCCCCCAAAATTTGCATAGAGTTCGATGCAAACAAAATTAATGAGTGTTATTTTCATGCAAGCAAGCTTGAAAAGTAGCCCCGAAATTTTTTTAAGTATTTTTTTTCCCTGGCGTGGCGGCTTGTATAAGTGGTCACAACTACTCAGCAAATATCCTCTACTTTCATTTGTATCCAGACTAAATGCTACTAGAAAATCAGAACATTCCTGCCAGTGTGGCCATGCCTACCATCTCTGCACTGATGCATGCACGCATCTGTTGTTTACCATACCTTTCAGCCACGAGCATAATATTGGAGGGGCAGAACAGATGTGTACTTTATTTCCACGCTGAATGCTCCCCTGATTCTTCGACATCTAACTTAGATAGCATGTGTGTACATTGATTAAATGTTCAAATTAAACGACTAGCTCGATTGTTACCAATCTTGATTCTTGATTATCTTCTTGTACACCATTCTGGATGGGTGGAGCCAGAAGGGTGTCCCTTCATATGTTTTGACACACAATCAATGTCCCTCCGGTTCTGGGCAGATGAATTGTCTTCATTATCATCAATGTTATCATCCTATGTATTATCTTATCCTCAATTAAGATTTCAAATTTTTTATTTACTCTTTTATGTTTCTTTTACTTTTAGATTTACTAGATTCTTGGGCAGCTAGTGTTTATGAAATATGCATAGAGTGATGTTACATGCAATGTTAAATCACATATATTTAAAAATTACGTGTCAATATTACCTCTTCTCTATGTCTCTTTCTGTGCAGTTTGATAACACGAATGCTGGTACGCGATCCGGCGAGCCGCGTGACGCTGAAGGAGATCGAGAACGACGCCTGGCTCCAGCAAGGAAGGAGAACAAGGAGACCCTCGGATCCAGTCATCACCAGGGAGCAGATCTCAGAACAGCTCCATGATAGCATCATGGACATCATGCTCAACGGCAAGATGGCCGAGAGGACAGCCATATTAGAGTGAGTACTTCACGATCCTCTTTCATAAAACTTGTCAACAATAAGATTTGGCTAGCTTCTGTAATTGTAGCATTTGATTGGCTGGGAGCGAATTTGTTGTAAATTTGTGGCAGCTGTAATTGAAAGAAAGTTATATTCAGCAGGGCACTGATGTATACCCAGAAGCCCGAATTCACAAAGGAGGTTTAACCCATGGTTTAAACCCTCATTTACATCAGCCATGGTGTAAAAATAAGCGCAAATCAATTGGACCTCTGACCGTGTCACGCCTATTTTGCGCTAATTTGAGACCATGGGTTATGTAAATGAAGATTTAAACCATGGGTGAAGTTTAAACCTCCTTTGTGAATTTGGGCCATAGAGGTGTCAGGATCTAGTGTATAAGCCATGAAACTGTGGATCAGATTGTTTTCATTTCTAGTCACTGCTATTTCACAAATGTCCTTTGCATAGACATTACTCTACATTTGCCACACTGCAGACTGAGTAATCTTGAGCTCCTACTTGGATTATTAAGTATGTCTTGTAAAAAAATAGACATAGTCTGGGACTAAGCAGCATGAAAAGCATATAAAATAAACAAACCTTTTTGAGCATGACAATTACATGTTGATACAAACAGAGCCTTGAGAAATCATTATGAAAAGGAAGGATAAAACTGAATCAACATTGAATGGGGGTATTAAAGATGATTTAGAAGTCATAGTGCCCAGTTTTAAGTCCATTCTGCTATGTTTTGTTGACAAAATCTCTGAAAGTAGGTGAAATGCGATGTAGAACATGCAACACCTCTTTCCAACATGACAATCACATTCCCCTCCAAGCAGAATCACCTTGAGTAATTGCTTAGATTCCCAGCAGAATATATTAGTTAGGATTCTTAAACCAAGGCCGGATAGGAGTCTTACAGGGGATTGAGGTTTTTGAGAGAGAGCAATGGTAGGCTTTTATCCCCAGTCTTAACTTTTCAGAGGCTTTGAAAGAAAATAGATGAGGTTTGGCAATATGCAACATGAAATGATTATACCCAAACAGAATACATGTATTTTTTAACATGACAATATTACCCACCCCCTCCCTTATCATGCAGGAAAACACAACATATACCATCAATGAAGAAATCTTCAAGAACATTCAATCATATTTATCCCCCAGTCCGATGAGCTTTGAGCAATTGCTTCGACTCCCTGAAGTATACAGCGGATATTTTTAGAAGTTGGATCAAGATTGGATGGTGTCTTAGAGGGGATCTAGATGTTCAAGTAAACAGTCTGAGTTTCTATCCTCACTCAGCTTTTGTAAAATTCTTGGAAATAAACAAATAATGTGATGTAATTCTATTCTGGAGGAATCTTTGCTGGACATTATAATCCTGTACCCCCCCCCCTCCCCCTGCACGATGAGTCTGCCCTTGAGCAAAACCTCAGATTCCCTTAAGTATCGACCCAATGGTTCGGATTGGATAAAGATTAGATATGATTCTTGGAGGAAAGCTTGGTGTAAGAAAGATTGATCTTGAGTTCCTGTCCTCAATCAGGCCTCGTAAAAATCTTTGAAACATAAGAGAAGATATTCAGGAATACACAATGTGTACAATGAAGGATCCTTCAACAACAACTTGGCAATCACATTTATCCCCCAGTTCGATGAGCAATTGCTTAGATTCCCTGATAAATATGTCACAGATTGGAAGCATTGCATCAAGATTGGATGGGAGTCTTAGTGGGGATCTAGGTGTTAGAGCAAGCAATCTTAAACTCCCATCGTCGTCGTTAGTAAGCCTTGATGGATTCCCTTCAATCTCCACTCGTGATTGCCCATCTTCATAACCTATTATTAGCGATGGCAAGACAATTCAGGAGGATGTGGATAACGATATTTATAACTTTTTGTATCTCTGCATCCGCTTCCGAAGAAGTACTGAATAATCAACATTGTTTGGTGTTTGACTAATATTTTTGTGAGATTTACTCCTCCAAGCTACATGTATCTTACATTAATACCTGTCCCGAGGACCTCTTTAAAAATAAGTATAATAATAAGAATATTCAGTTCTTGTATAGCGCATAATGCATTATGAAATAACATCTCTGTGCGCTTCCAAACAGCTTTGGAAATAATTACCCTAGCTTTAGCTAGGTATTATTATTGGTAAATTTGAAAAATGAAATGTGGAACCTTACAGATGTAAGTTACATTTTATCAGCACTTTTCTCTCTCCAGTCTCCTAACATTTCTTTTAGGCAGTATCATGTAATAGGCACTCATCTATATTAGTAGCCCTGAAACTTTTCAAAAATATGTCCAAATCTCTGACCACCACATCCTCACAATTCAGTTCATTCCATCTGTGGTATACGTGTGTCATATAGTGTTATAGGGTTAGAGTGGTCATGGGATATGATAAATGAATCAACCATTAATGCATGCTTTTCATCTGGCCACTTCCATCTTTAGGTCTGTAGAGAAGGACTGCTATGACCATCTGTCTGCGACCTACTTCCTGCTGGCAGAGCGCAAGCTGAAGAAGCAGAAAGAAGAGAGACTCAAGTTCTCGGCCAGCGACCTCAGGAAGGCCATGGTCTCTGGCAAACCCAACCAAGGTGCAGGAGGTCCAAGGTAAGGGGTCATCCACAATCCTTAGGTTCCTGAAAGAGTGCTTGGGTCCTCTGTGCTTGAGCTCTTGCATAAGTATAAGTATGTGATGGATATGCTGCAGACGATCGACTTTTGATGTGAGGGTATTTCTTGTTGATTCTCACCTCATCAGAAAGGGAGAGATAAGAAAAGAGAGAGAGGAGGGGTGAGGGTAGTGAGAAGAGAGAGAGAGAGAGAGGGCGAGAGAGTGAAAGTGAGAGATAGAGAGGGGGAATAAGAAAGGGGAATAGGATTGATAAAGAGCAAAGAGAGAGGGGAATGGGTCCAATAGGGATGGCAAGACAGAGAGGGGGAAAATAGTATAAGGAGAAACAGTCAGAGAGAAGGAATGAAAGATAGAGAGGGACAAACAGAGGTTGATAGAAAGACAGAAAGAGAGAGGGGCGCTGGTAATCTTGACTTAAACAAAATCGACAGAAAACAAGAAATTTAATGTCAAACTCAGCCCTTACCCTGCGTACTTATGAGGGAGGGGGTGCTGCAAGTGAAGGGTGTGTGGGGTCAACAGGGTTCAAACCTCGCCTTGGTCTATTGGCTGGGTGAGTGACATCTCAGAGTGTGACCCTCTGTTTCGTAACAGATTTAAAGTCAAGGCACGGTTGTAACAAGGGTCCTCTTGGGGCTTGTGAAGGCTCGTTCAAATATGATGCGGGCAAAACCACAGCGTTTAAAAAAAAAAATGACATAAATTGTAAAACGCATCACATTTCTGTATCTTATAACACAGAGCTCAGAGAATACGCGCAATTTCTCTGTTGCTATTCATTTACCAATTTTTCAAAAACATGGTGGCTTTATTGTGGCAGTTTACTGCGCCATATCTTTAAAAATAGCAACAGAGTACTCAAAATTGTTAAGAGGGGTGCTTGAAGAAGATGAAGGCATGTATAAATCATTAGATACATGTACTCAGCAGAAAGTGCAAATGGGTGTAAGCTAAAAGATTTTTATTTCTAAAAATGTACATTTCAAAGTTTAACTTTTCTGTGACAACATAGATATGAAACACATATTACTCTGTAATCATCTAAATTGTTAACAGGTTATAACATCTCTGTACCAAGTATTCATTTAGCATTTCATTACAAAACTTAGAAACCAAAAATGAACAATTTATTGAAATTTGTGTTGCATCATTCTGCTAATCAACAGACAGTATGTCTACATATTTTCAGTTCACATTTACACTACATGGAAGTAAGAACACAAGCCAGTACGTGAATGCATCTATAAAATCAATGAATACTAAAACATTTGAAGTTTAAAAAGGAACAAAAGAAATATATTAATACCCTGTAGCATCATTTATTTTGATTTCAAATGTGTCCATTTGTGTTGTGATACATTTATAAGCCTTGTCAGAACATGCATGATATAACGGTGTAATCAACTGGGCTCGATTAGGGAAATCCCCTTGTTGGTGACTTCGTCAGAAAACATGATGATGTTCATCGTGAAGTGGCTATCGCCTGGCCCCTTCACTGACCCATTATTCAGATGACGATGAAGATCTCCTCAGCATTGAGATCCTCCCTTCATCTCTTCTTTGCTTTACCAAGAAAAGACAACATCTGTCTGACGTAATAGCCAACGGAACTCGCTCTCTAGTTTGACCCAGCGTCACAGAATCTAGGTCAATTTGTAGATGCAATGTTGGTGCTTCTGTGCTTTAGTTTGGAGTAAACAACTCGTGCTTTGTAGTCTCCCTTGGCCATTCATGAAGATAACGATAAGATCTATTGATATAACCTGTCTATATGTTCATTAGGAAGGCTCTTGGCAGTTTTTATTTCAAATGGTAAAAAAATTATACTAATGTTAATTTGAAGTGCATTTAAAAAGAGATTCACACCAAATTTGTAATTTTTCTGTATGAAAAAACAAGCTGATTGTGTACAGAGAAGTCCAAACTATAGTGCGTTTCATTAAAAGAAATTATTGTTTCTGAAAATGTCCTAAATTAGGGAATGAGGGAGGTTTATTAAAAAAGAGAAGAAAAAACAATTGAGATGATCAGAATCTGGCATCACTACGTGCTCTTGTCACACCCCCGTATAACCCTCTTAGATCATTGCACAGGCATTTACACGACTTCATTGTCTTTAAGACAAGACTTTGGATATAATATGTTCATTCTTAAGAACGTGACTCCAATTTGAGGTCAATGGGAGCTGTTTTCAATGAATGAATGAATAATTAATTGTAAAGTATAATCTTTCTTGCTCAGCTGTAGCTAATCAAAATTCAAAGTGGGAGTTTTTAATCTTCCTGTAATGATGGCTCATGAGCACAACTCCTCTGTTCTTTTACCGACCCTGTTTCATTGCGCCCTCTATCAATAGACAATGGTAATTAAAATAAAGGTCAAGTTATTGTGAAGGTAAAGGACAAGGAACCTGATTCTTTTTTATATCCATTTGGGAGAATGTCATCGTACTATTGGTTATAAAAAGGATTGCTCTTGAAGTCTATTAGCCCATAACAGTTCATAGTTTCCTTATTTTCCAAATTGATCAGCTTTTCCCTCCTCAAATTGTAAAAGTGTCTTTCCTAGCATTCTGGATCAAAAGATAATGCAAAAAACTTCACTGAAAGGTGACACTGTACTGCCTATGGGTGAATTGATATTTCAAATACTACATTCAAACCTGCTTTAGTGATCACCCATCTACAAAGACCACCTGTCTACAAAGACCACATTTTTTGTTTCCTTTGAAAATGATGTCTCATTGAAACATGTACTAAAGGAACCTGTACATAAAGACCACTTTTCTTGTCTCCGTTGGGTGGTCTCTATAGACAGGTTTCATTGTACTACTTGATTTATTGTTTAGTTTGGACCACATCTGATGAGACATGTTTGTTCAGCAAGAATTTTCAGCAAGATTAATTTTGACGGTTCCAAACATTCAAACAAAAGGATTATTTATTATTATTATTAGTAGTAGTAGTATTTCTATTATTGTTATGATTATTATGATTATCATAATTATTATTATCATTATCATTGTTATTATTATTGTTATTATTTTTGTTATTTTTATTATTATGTTTATGTTTACAGGAAACCTCAAGACGACTTGCCGCTTGGTAGCTCCAAGCCTGGCATCAACAACAACAGCAAACAGGCCACCCCTTCCCAGCCCTCCACCACACCCCCAGCTTCCAAGCCGGTAGCCATACCTGGGGCCTGTGCCGTAGGGGGCAAGCACGACGCCCGTTCCCTGGACGACTCGCCCCTCTCCAATAGCCCAAGAAGACATCAGATCGAGAGGGAGCATCTTACCATCCATCCCAGGCATGGCAGGAGTATTGTCAAGGAGGGGATTGGCTCGCTAGATGTAAGTTGATGGTTTAGTGTATCCAAGTGTATTAAAGCTCCAGGGGACCTTGAGGATTCAAGTCCTATCCTAGGGACTTTGTAAGATTCCGGTAGCTCACTGCTTAAAGGGATCCGGTAACTTTGTCTCAGATTCTGAAACAAAATTCTGGATTTAGCTCATGCTGTAATGATAATTATAAACCTTTAGGTCAGTCAGGAACCCCGTGACTTTTACAAGCCGATCGCCTGTCTGATTATCAAGATATTTATGATTGGAATTACAAATTTTGAAAACCGTTTGCCTGACGGTTTTCATAACACTACAGTCTATTGGGGAAAACGAGTATGGTAAAACCTGTCACTCAAAGATTTTTACTTTTTTGAGGCACTTCTTGAGCATTTTGAAGCGCAATTTTTTTAGGGCTTCAATATTACAACATATCACAGACACTGATAACACGTAGGACCATGTATCTCAAATTTAACATTGTTAAACGATCCCTTTAAAGCGGTACTGCACTACTTGTATCTACTTGCACCCTCTATATAGCAAACATTGCCTAAGCGGTACCCATCGGTCCCCCATGATCCCCTTTTTCTTATGTTAAGTGATAGCTGATTTGATGAGATAACCACCTGCCAGTGACCATGCAGGGAGGTCTAATCCCTCCTGGCCAAACAAGTGCAGATGGGCTTTAAATGTGTGATATTCAGGTGTTCTGGCAGGCTTTACTTTTCACTTCAGTCCAGTTCAGCTAATTTAAGGTCAAGCACATGGAGTTAACAAGATGCACTCGCTCACAAAACAATTGCAGGTTTTCAAGAACTACCACTTCACAAGGCATCTTCTTTTATAATGCCGGAGCATGTGTGACATAGTCACATATCCACATCCGTTTATATCGTTTGAAGTGGTATTGCTTTAAACCATTCAATACATGATATTGAGGTGTTCTGGCAGTCTTCACTTTTTTCCTCTTCACTTCAGTCCAGTTCAGCTAATTTGAGGTCAAGCACATAGAGATAACTAGATGCACTTGCTCACAAAACAATTGCAGGTTTTCAAGAACTACCACTTCACAAGGCATCTTCTTTTATAATGCCGGAGCATGTGTGACATAGTCACGTATCGACAGCCATTTATATAATTTGAAGTGGTATTGCTTTAAAACCATTAAATATGTGATGTTCAGGTGTTCTGGCAGTCTTTACATTTTTCCTTTTTACTTCAGTCCAGTTCAGCTAATTTGAGGTCAAGCATAGAGATAACTAGATGCACTTGCTCACAAAAGAATTGCGGGTTTCTAGCACTTCCACTTCACAAGGCATCTTCTTTTATAATGCCGGAACATGTCTCACATAGTCACGTATCGACAGCCATTTATATAATTTGAAGTGGTATTGCTTTAAAACCATTAAATATGTGATGTTCAGGTGTTCTGGCAGTCTTTACATTTTTCCTTTTCACTTCAGTCCAGTTCAGCTAATTTGAGGTCAAGCACATAGAGATAACTAGATGACTTGCTCACAAAACAATTGCGGGTTTTCTAGCACTTCCACTTCACAAGCCATCTTCTTACATAATGCCAGAAGTTGTCCGACATAGTCACGCATCCAGAGCCGTTTATATCTTTTGAAATATTTTGAAGTGGTATTGCTTTTATAAAACCAATTATATTTTGTGAGAAGTTCTACCGAATGAATTTAAAGATCCAATTTTCACTTGAAGGAGACTTCATGTATATGAAGCCCTGTTATGCATCTTTCTCTCTGTTCAATATACTTGAAAGAAATCTTCAACTCCTTTCCTACAAATAATCAAAATTGTGTAGAGAAATATTTGCTCCGAGCATTTTCGAGAGAAAATATATTGGAAGGACTTCTTGAAAATAAATCAGTGACATCATTAGTAACTTGATTTGTAAATGCCTTTGCTTGAAACAGGAAGCACCTCACAATAACGCTCATAATCTGATCTAAAACAGCTTTGCTATTTATAGAAGAAACAGACACAAATACTTAAAGCTCGTCTAAAGTATTGGGAGCCCCAACAAGTCAAATATTGATGAAAGAATTCATAATTTGGGTTTGTTTTTTTGTCCGCAGAAAACCTAAATTTTGTATTCTTTCATCAATTTTTGAATTCAAACACATTTGTTTTGAAAATCCTTACAGGAATGTGTCTTAAATGACATCCTCTTTCACATTTCGATACAATTTAAGTTAAATTTTGCCATCAAATTTTTGGGGCTCCCAACACTTTAGAGGGACTTTAAAGATAGTATGATATTTGATGAAGGATTAGAGACTTTCATGGAACAACAACAACCCCAAATGAGGACTTCAAGGGTCCTGTGTCAATGAGTAATGACATGAAATTACATCCACCCACATGTTTACATTGGCTGTCTGGTAATAAGATAACTTTTAAAGCCAATCATGTTTATCCATATACCAGCAAAGAAATTGTATCTTCTGGTAATTCCGTCACTTTCTGTAGAAGATGCCAAGAATCTTGTAGGGTTGAAGGGACCTTTCGAACGGTTCATGATTTCTAGTGATGAGTCATTAACCTTTGAAATCAACGACATAAATACATCAATTTTTTATATGCATCTTTCGATAGCCCGGCTACCAATTGCAGTTCATGGTTTAATATCCATGGCATTAGTAAGATGTTGATGGTCTGAGATATCTTTCTAGATTGCTTTGCATCACATCCTCAATTCATCACAATTCATTTCATTATAGCTAGCTAAATTCGATTTGACAACTAACAGTCGTTATTTTCCAACAAAAAAGAGATTTTCAAGTCCTTTTGTTTTGAGTGATGTTCTAAATTAGTATTATCTTTCAAATGCCCGGTTGGAATTAAACCTTGTTGTTTTTTTGGCCTGCAAATGGGACATAGTACCTTCAAAGCTTTGTACAAATCTTGTCCAAATTAGACTTCCGACTCTAATACAGCCGATTAAATATCTCTTGCCTTCACTTGAGACTGGAATTAGTGAGATAACACCCAATGGAAATATTCAAGACTTTTGTAAGCTGTAAAATATCCTAAAGTCTTCCACAAAGCCAATGTGCTGAATATTTGTTCACCATCTTTCTTCACATTTTATGATAGTTTGCAAGTAACTGTCTTTAAGATTGGTAAGTTGTGAGGGTAGGGGGGTGTTGTTGTTACCACTTTACATTTTAACTAAAACACAATGCTGTTAGGAGCCACTTGAATAATATCTTATCGTAGTATAATTATGTCATGTAAGTGTGAGAATAAGCAGAATAATTAACCAAAATATTTCTCTTCTCTTTTCTTTTGTTCTTGAGGACGAGGAATATCAACATCAGGCTGAAGATGAGGATCTAGACAGTCAGGAGAGCCAGGAGAACTTTCCAGGAGACCCCCAAGACACCGTAGCCCCCTCCTCCCCCACGGACGACATGGGGGGCAACGGGGGTAGCGGTAAGGATACAGGGGGCAATGGAGGCAATCGGCAGTCCCTCAACAGCAACCGTCAAGCCATCCAGTCTAAGATATGCACATCAGTACTGAACCAGATCACAGAGGAAGAAGGTGAATATTGGACCTTGAATCTTTGACCTTAAAGCCCCACTGCACTACTTTTAGCTACTTGCGCCCTCTATATAGCAAACAATGCCTAATCGGTGCCTGTGGTTCCCCATGATCCTCTTTTTCTTGTGTTAATTGAGAGCTGATTTGATGAGATAACCACCTGTCAGTGACTTTGCAGGGAGGTATAATCCCCCTGGTCAAACTAGTACAGAGGGGCTTTAATTCATAGTCTTATTCCTTGATTTGTCCCTGTAAGAGCATTTTTTCAATTCAGGAACGAGTTCAGGAAATTGGAGTGCTTTTTAAACTTGAGTGAATTGAATGGTTTTCAACATGACCAAATACGGGATTGATTAATGATTATGTTTTGTGAGATCATTATGGTATCTGTCCTGGCTACCAAACAGTGGTATTTATGTGAAACAGACTCTAGCATCCAACAGATGTAATTAGCTGCCCACCATTGATTATGTGAAATTGATACATCAAGAAGAAACAACACTGATCATGACAAATTAAGGAAGCTGTTTATTATGTTCGTTATAGCACCACTTGTATATTCTGTATTGCATAGCTTTATTTGATTTTATATCTTATGGATAATTGTAAGACTTATTTCAGAAATAGGTTTGATGATTCTTATAGTTTATTTTTCTACCATCTTTCTTCCCAGATGAGTATGAATCTGATGAGGACCGAGGAATGCTACGGAGGTTACCTTCACGTGACAATAGACAACCAAAGACTCTCTCAAGTAGCAAGGACAATGTACGCCAAATCAAATCTAGCAGTAAAAAGTTCACGCCTCCACCAAGAGGGGGCTACAGCTCCTCGGACGCCAGCGACGACGATTCAGAATCGCGGAGAAGATCGGACAGGTTTGATCTGCCACACCCGACGACGCATCGGAGGGGGAGCAAGGATGGTCCTCCTAGCTCAGGGAGTGAGGGTGGAGGAGGGTCTCATAATACTCATGGTGGCAGTGGTGCTAGCGCAGGTGGTAGCAAGCAGAATGGTAACGCAGGCAAGGGTAATGACTCTGGCGGTACAAACGGTAACGGCACAAACGGTGGAGGTACCAAAGGTTCCGGGAAGGAGCGCAAAAAGAGCAATGAACTCCGCGAGAGTCTCAAAATGAGCAATCTCAGTGTGAACTCTTCAAACTCGTCGAGCTCATACAGCATCAGCAAATACGCCATCGACCCTGCTAACAACACGCCCAGCGATTCCGACGACCCCAACGCCGAAGCCAAGACGTGGTCACGGAAAAACAACCTGCGGAAGGACCACGTGACACGGTCGGACAGTAACCTCTACATCATTCCAAAGAACGGGGAGAAGCCCAAACACATTCACACATCACCGTCCAAATCCAGTCTAAAGAGAGACAGTTCCAATCTGAGTGAGAAACTCAACTTGGATCTCAATAGTAACATGCCAAGGAGAACCTCCAAAGAAGCCAGAGACATTCGCAAGAAGCGCAATCGAATCGCCAGCGCCAACGGCCAAGGGGGTAGAGGCAAGAAGGATCCGAACAAGAAAGTGGAGAGCAACTGTTGCCGTCTCATATAATGTGTGTCATTGGGCAGAATGTGTCTGCTCTATGTCTATCTGGAAATATCATAAGTTATTTCCAATATTAAGTCCATATTACTGTAAAATGACTCGCGGATATCAACAAGTAATTCTAGTCTGTTTCACAGTATTCATGAACCTGTTATGAAATGCTGTTTTAGTTTAGTATCCTCAGGACTGTTAGTGTTGTCATTATAGTTCAGGTAGCCTCCCAGTTTGGTGTTCACAAGTTTTTATCCTTCACAAATCCTTATGTTACATGCATCTAATAGTCTTCTTGTTTAGTGAGTAAATGCATCTACTTTGTGAAAGTTTGTTCTTAAACTGATAGTCATGCGCTATGATTTGGACTCTTCAGTCACAACATCTCATTAATCGGAACATTTAGTTGTGTGAACATAGTGAAAACATAGCACACATTTGATACTGTGCTATGTATTAAAAAAAAGTATGTGCAACTTGTTGCTTGGTGATGCTAACATAGCTTTAATATCCCTTTCGCTTCTGACGTAATGGGAAAAAAAGTCAATCGAAAGAGCTCTGAAGCTTTCCTTTATGCCTCTCAAATATTTGTTTGTATCCCTTTTCCTGACATTGCACCAGATATCATTATATAACAGCATTGAAACCACATTTCCTCATATAATACCTACTTACAATAATTGTAATAGTACCTACTTGCAACTGCGTCAGAGGTAATTAGAATCTAGTAAAACTCCTATATAGAAAATCTCTTTTACCCACACTGCCAATTGCAGTAATGAGTTTTTGTTTTTTAGGATGTGATCATATGTATGTAAGAAGGCAAGCCCGATGCTGCATTATATCAGGGGATTGATTTTTTTATCTACCAGGTTTCTTTTCAGCTGTATATTTTGACTGGATTTTGTTTTTAGGATCTTTTATTTCACATTTTTATCAGCCATTCTCTGCTGCATGTTGCAAGATGATTTTATGATAGACTTTGAAGGAAATCATTGCTGCTAGCCAGAAGAGAAAACATATTAGCTGAGATCCCATTTTCCCGTTTGTATTATCCCCAGTAGTCTACATTTAATTGAATCTTGAATATTTGAAACATAAGAATTCCCCACCAAAAAAAAACAGCAAAAGACATTCTAATAGATTCATTAGTTACTGGTTAAATTATTTAAAGGAGTGAATGTTTTGATATTGGTTTTAAAGGATCATTTCCTGTTATTGTTACAGATTTATTATTATCTGTTCACAGTTTTTGTTATAAAAGAAACATATTTTAATCCTATTCCTTTTTATACTGATAGATCAATTGTTATTGTCACATTGATGATTTTGTGAAACTATTCTGTATTGACGATTTTAAGTGAGATATGTTTCCCTTACCCAGATCCCTCGTATAGAAACAATCCTGAATCCGGAACTGGTTTCCTGTTGAAATCCCTCACCATAGTAACAAGACAATCATTTTCCTGCGAGACTACAAATACCCAATTTACATTCCAGGTATTTCAATATCCCCATCCCCTTTCCTTATTTTTTATTTGGCAAGATTTATATTTCATACCTTATAATGCTTTCTTAAACAAAACTTATCTTTGTCTTTTTAACTGATTTGAGGAAGCAGTAAATATTTTAAAATTTTGGCGGCAAATTTAATATCTCCTATGATATTCACACACAAGAATGTCAAATTATTTTAATCTAAATTGAGTTATATGTTCATTGGTGCATTGGCAGTAAAAGCCAAAGTAAAACGTGATAAGAGAGAGAATTATGACATTATTTAAATTATCTTTTATGAATAAATTATTCGGGTTACATTTCTATAATTTTATTTTAAATAAGTTTTTAAGTTAAACTATTTATTCAGAAATTAACCCTTGTGGCAACTTGATTCAAGTTGATTGTGGCTTTAGAAAAATGTTGTATTTTTGTTTTGTTTTAATGTATATTTCAATCTAAAGTCACTTTGTATGATGTATTTGCTGCTCAGTATATATCACCATATTTGTGGATGCATGCAATTTTGGACATCAAGTCTACTAATGTTTTAACATTCTTTATGGTATGTGTTTTATGCTTCATTCGAGTACAGTTCTGCTGGTTCAGAACTTGGGATAAATTGAGATCATGTAACATATTTTTGTTTTAAAAAGAAAGAAACACCTGAACATTTTTCCATGTTTCACAAATGTTTGTTTCACTGTTTTAGATTGTATGTACATCAGGACTTGTACATTTATCCCTCTGTTTTGTACAGAAACTGGCTCTCATATATGTTCTGTGTGTGTGTGTATATCAGAATCCTAATATATATATATATGGACAATACAGCGAATGCAAGGTAAATATTGTTGACTTGGCTTTTCTTCAATGCAAGTATTTTCGTAATATTTATTGAATAGAACTGTGGAATTTTCGTTCCACATCAATACAGTTGTATTTAGATTTTAATTATATAAACAAGAATTGATTAGAACAAGCTTGTGTGACCAATTTTTAAACAGGTGATAGATCAAAGATTTTACTTGTATACAAAAAAACTAGATGTCAATTTAATGTATAGATAATTAATCAAGTTGTTGATGTCGCTTAAGTAGACAAAAAATCCCCAGCCAATGCTAATAATCATAATGAAATTAATTAAATGTACTTGCCGATACTCTTAGTGATTTTTGTCAAACTTTTTTTTTTACTAATCAATTATAAGATTAATGTTTCTGTGTATGGTCATGGTAGTCTAAGTACCTTTCTAATGCAGGGAAGTATTGAGCAGTGTTGTGAAATCTTCATAGATTTTGTTTGAAGCCAAGTGTGAGCTTTGTACAAAAAAAAGTGCTATTTCATCATGATGGGGCACAGGGGAGGGGGGGGGGGGGGGGAGTTGTATCAGAAGCGAGTCTCACAACTCGCTGTGTTCATTCTATTTATTTAGGGTTTTATTGCGTGTGAAGCGTATATATATTAGAAGTGATACTGTCTTCCTGTTTAGTAGACCGTGTGTATGAGAATGTCTGCGTGAGTGTATGCGGCGGTGCAACTGAGATTAGGCTGACACACTCATTAATAATGTACACATGTCCAATATCAGAAAGAGATTCTAAAAAAATTATATTTTGAAAGAAAACTTGTCAATTACATATATGTGTATCAGTGAAATCAGTATATATTCAAATGTCACAGTCATGGTGTGTTATTTTGCGTAAATATTGGGTTTGGGTCATTTTGGGGGTTGTTGTCGTGGATTTTGTCCTTACAAAAGTTTGAACATAAGCTTCAGTGTGTGTCATATATTTTGATGTTGCCAAAATAAGGATGTTGGTTGTAAGATATTAAACAATTGTTGTAAGAAGAAGAAGAAGAATAAAGAATGCACCTGTAATAAGTTGATATTATCCAGGAGATAGCAATACATAGTTATACAAGAGCATGTGTTCCTTTATAGACCCACACGTTCAAAGACTTGTCGGAAAAAAGCTCAAGTTTATAGCTCAGGCACGTTTAAAGTTCCTTCCACACATATTGCTTATTGAAGAAAGATGGCATATTTCTTTTTTGTGAAGTTTCTGTCACAAGTATAACTGACAAAATCCTTTTGCTTACACAATGACAGAGTGAATGAAAGAAACTATTATGGAATGTGAAGCGCCAAGTTTATGTCTGCTGAATCAAAATCAGTAACAGGTACATCTCTGAAAATTCTGTTCTTATTTTGTACCAAAGCCACCTTTGAGTTTAAAAGATAATCTTGAGTTCTGATGATGATGGAAAGGACAATTTCTACAGAATTCATCAGAATTTACATTGAATCTCAAAAATGAACAACTTAAGGTTGTCTATTGAAAGAGTGAAATTCTTTCACCAGGTTGACCTAACAGAATACCTACATGTTGTCCCATATGTTTATTGATGCATTAGTGCTCTTTAGGGTAGGTTATTTTCAGCAAAATCATATTTAAAAAAGAAGTTTATTTACTATCTCTAGTGGTCCAAACTGGTCCATATAATCCAAAATGTAAATTTTAAAATAATGTTTAGCCAGTTTCTCAAGAAAACAATTTCATCACCAGGACTCAAGATCTTTTTTAATCAAGTTGGGTTGAAGTTTCAGGTAGAATACCAAGGTATAGGAATAAATTTTGATCTTCTAAAATCTATTTCTCAGGGATAGAGAAATACATCAAAATATGACTTGAGATTTTATTGGAGATTCCATCCAACTTTCTTGCATTTTGCAGTGTGTGACTGTGTGTTATAAGCCGTTTTAACGCTTGCATATCTATGGAGGTGCATTATTTTTCATGTAGATCAATTGGGGCGTTGTCTGAAAGAAAGAGATAAAAGATAGAGCCAAACGTAAAGTGAAAGATTTTTCATGAAGAATGATATGAGCTTGTATCCTAGGTATAGCTACTGTAGGATTACATACCTCACCGTCAGATAACCAATACAAGCATGTGTAACCAGGATGGAAGAATATGATTCATAACTCCTTACAAATAAGCTTTTAGCTGCTGTATTAAGTTTGCAGTGATTATCTGTTCCCATTCCTTTATTTTTCTTTCTTCTTTTTAATTCTTTCATTTCTTCTATCTCATTGGGTTACTCCTTTTCTGTCACATGCTCTCCCTCTCTGTGTTATCAAACTCTATCACTGTCTCTCTTTCTCTCCCTGCTCCTCTTCCATGTTCCCCTCTCTCTCTCTCTCTCTCTTTCTCTCTATCCCCCTCTCTCTCTTTCTCTCTATCCCTCTCTCTCTCTCTCTTTCTATGCATCACTCTCTCTCTCTCTCTCTTTCTATGCATCACTCTTATAATCATATATCTTTTTCTCTGCCATCCTTTCTTTCTCTCCATTCCTTCTTTCCTCCTTTTTCTCTACACTCTTAATTTTATCTTCTCTCTTTCTGTCCTCCAGTCTTTTTCTCTCACAATTTCACTGTGTTTGCGCGTGTGTGTGTGTGTGTGTCTCTCTCTCTCTTTCTCTTTTAACTTGTCTATCTCTGTCTCTTTCTAATTAAAATCCCATCAGTATCATGTAAAAAAAAAATGTTGTATTTAAGACTACATTACTTTTGTAAAGCTTCCTTAATTCAACATATGAAGCACATTCCAGGGTTGTTTTTGTGTTATCGTTTTCTGTTTTTTATGGTTTCAGTTATATATGTGATGCATTGCAGTTATGGCATAGCTGTGCTGTATTTTTGTTTTTGTTTTCACTGGCAGTATTTGAATTATTTTTTAAAATTCAGTACCACACGCATAGTTTCTGATAGGTTTGTTGTTACGTTGATGTCTTAATTTAGTCATGAAATCAACAATTCAATGTTGACTGCATGTTCCCATACCCCTATATTCCAACATGTATGGCCTTTGAGTATGAATAAATGGCAATGCTCTATCTTACACAGACCAACATATCAGTGCTGTAACTATATTATTGTTGGAATATAAGGGGTTTTGGAACATGGTGTCAGTCCGCCATGCCCAAATTGGTAAAGAGAAAAGAGCAGTAATGTTAGATTAGAAACGATGTATTATTGAAGTAGTAAGGGGTACTCACACAATGTACTTTAGGAATGTTCCTCATTTTGAAGAAGAAAAAATCTGACTTCAAAGTTGTTGGCAATGAATCTGTTTTTATCAATGAACTGTAAGAATAAATGTTTAAAAATATTTGAGATCTGTTTTTAAAAAATGTTGCAATAGCTAAAAGTAGTATCACTTTGGGGAGTGTAAAAGCATTTCTGTACTAAGTTTGGGAGGTAAAGAGAAAATCCTAATTATCAAAAATTATTTTAATAATGAGCAGAGATAAATCTTGCCATTTTTGTAACAATGATTATGGATTTAGGATATCTCGTACTTCTACACCAGCGATATTCGGACAGTTGCCACGAGTTGTATTCTTGACCCCTTTTCAATAAAGGAAAGTAATAAAAGAATTATAGGTAAATCTTGTCTGTTCAGAGCCAAAAGGACGTTAAAGATAAACTTGAGTACTGGTCATGCGATTGCATTATGAAAGAAAAGGTGTGGAATGGATCAGAAAAGTTGATCATATAGCATGTAAGTAATGGTGTGTAATGCAAGGTTCTGGAGTCATCATAATCATCATAAATTTGGCAGAGTTTTGGTAAAGTAATAATCACTTACACAGAAAGATGTATATGGGACAACACACATGGTGTCGGGGCTGGTACTACCCTGATTTCCTTATCTTTCTATGCCCATTACTCAGCCAGTATACATTTTCTTCCAAAATTGTTTGGCACATAACATTTATTTGTAATCTTGAACATTCAGTGTAAGTTTTGTTAGATTCTGTGAGAATTCATTTTCTTTTTTTACCAGAACTCAAGTTTATCTTTAACTCTGTGTTTAAAGTACATGAGGTAACGCCCTTTTAACTCCGAGCAGACAAAATATTTTATTATTTACGGAATTATTTATTGTTTTACGGATCAAGAAACAACAAAGACATATGCTTGTACTTTGTGTAAGTTGATATATTCCTTTTGGAATGCTGCATTGCCAACTTAATTTTTGGCAAATATTTTGATGGTCAGAAAGAGTCATGAGTCCGCTATTAAATGAATGAAAACTTTGTAATTTAAGATTTTAATATTCATTCTAGATCTTGTAACAAAGTTTAATGATAATTTCATATCACTTTTTCATTACTTACTACTCGAACTGTGATGAAATAGGAACACCATATTGGACCTTTATTCTCTCTCTCTCTCTCTCTCTCTCTCTCTTTCTCTTCTAGCTCTCTCTCTCTCTCTCTCTCTCTCTCTCTCTCTCTCCCTCTCTCTCTTGTGGTGTGATATACGGGTCATTGCTTTCATATTGATGGTATTTTAAAGCCATTATTGTGTCAAACAAAAAACATAAGATCTATTGTAGGATGTGTGAGGACTTCACAGGGGACTTTGTTACTGTGTGAGTAAGATGCAAGCATCGTTTGATATGTTTGGATTTCGTATTTTTAGAAAAGACTAGATATTGAAAAATCCCTCCAAAATATGGTGAAGAAAAAAAAATTGCAATTTTATATCTGTAAATCCAGTATGTTATATAAGAAATCCAAGTAACTTATTGTTAGTCATTTTTATACTCCTCTGCATAATATTAATGATTGTGGTTGCATTATTTATGTTTTAATCTAAGATTATCTATACAGAAGAGGAGATTATTAAGAGGACAATTTGTACTATAATCTGTGTGCTGTGTACATGTGGATATAAAAAAAAATAGGAGATAAGAGAACGAGGAGAAGAGGATTGTAAAAACTAATGACTATTTGTTTACAATGCTGATGAAGAAAGGAAATGTTTGAAACTTGTACCATTTTTATGTCACTAGCAAGTCTTATTGTAGTGATATATGGAGTAAAAAATTGACAGCAAAAAATTAAAATGAGTTGTTTCTTGTGTTCTTTGTTTTTGTTATGTGGTGTGTATGATAATGGAATTTACTCAACAATAGTTGAGTCAAATCATTAAATATAAACTAATTATTAGATATTAATAATGATAATATGGTTATATTAATTTAGCATTACTGCCACATTACTGCTTTTCCTGTAGACTGTAGGCTCTGCAATTATTATCATGTCAGCAATTGCCAGGTACCCATTTACCACAGATTTAAGCACCGACCATAGATCGAACCCAGGATATCTTTGGTACGATCTTCTCCCTTTGCCAAACTCAAATAATCCCTGTAAGTGAAGTAAAAACTGAATAAAATATAAAAGTAAACTGAAGAATTAAAAGTATTCCTTGAAAATATCACCATCATGGCATCACCACAAACATAGATATTTTGATAATTAATTCACTATAAAACATTTAAAGTTCAATGATAAAATCTTTTCCCTTCGCCAAAAGTTCATGACCTCTTTTATTTCAATGTGTTGCCCATCTTCATTATTTTCCTGGCTGATATCCAAGAGATATACTTGACTAAAAACAGTAAACCCTAAATTTGGATACAATCGTTAATGATTTGCCAAGTTGCACACATAATCTTGGCTGTGGTCTTGGCAAGCCTTGATCCTCTGTCTACCGTACTCGGATAAAAAAAAAAATATAGAAAATGTACATTACAGTTTAAAGTAGAAGTTGAGTTCTGGTCATGCGATTGCATTGTGAAAGAAAGGCGTGGAATCGACCAGAAAAGGTTGATCATCTAGCATATAAGTATTTGTGTGTATTGCAAGGTTCTGGAATCATCAAAATGATAAGAAATTTGGCCAAGTCTTGGTAAAGTTACAAACACTGTGCCCAGAAAGATGTATATGGGACTACACGAACACGTGGCGTGAAAATCCATCCCGATTTTTATGTTTCATGACACATTTCGAATATGAAGGCATTTGAAGAGCCATTCAGGGAACATGTTTTATCTGATGTTCTTCCACACTTGCGTAATACAATGATAACGTCACAAATTATTTTTTCACCTCTTCCCAGAACTCAACCTTCTCTTTAACTGCATAATTTGATATAACTAAGTAGCTATTTTCTGTTTTAGAGAATGTCTGAATAGAATTTTTTAGTCTATCATTCATTGTGAGCAAATGAACACAAGTGAAAAGTTTCATTTTTTGGTTGCAAAAATGATGAACAAGACATCCTTTTATTTCCTAAGATATATAGGCCTACAGCCATTTCCATAAAAGACATGAAGATTCAGAGAGAGAGAGAGAGAGAGAGAGAGAGAGAAGAACAAGAAGAAATATGGATTCTCACTTTCCGATTTTTGACATGGATTAAAAATGTCACTACTGAGTGCAGCTCGATTTCTATTTTATCCATTGCTTTTTTGTATTATTCAGGTTTTTTTTTTAAATGATGTCTAGCGGGTAATTAGTCCACGGTCAGCCCTCTGTCTTCACCTACAAACTGATTCTGATCAGAGCATGCATGGCCCTGCTCTCTCTCCCTCTCCCTCTCTTTCTCTCTCTCTCTCTCTCTCTCTCTCTCTCACTTCTCTCTCTCTCTCTCTCCCGTTGATGAGGTGTACCCTCAGTCATAATACTTTTTTCCCTTGACATCCTGCCTTAGGATCATATTTTGAAAGGCCTGCTATAATTGCTCAGTAGAAAATGAAAATATGCAAACTGAAACTTTTAATTCTCCTGCCGAGTTACCAGCAAAGGAGGGTCGATTTTCTTATAATTCGAATTTTCAGACACATTAGGACGAAACACTACTAGGACGACTCTACGAACCCGCGCTTTTCAAAACAACAACTTGGAAAGTAAGTTCATCGATTAAATTCATAATCCATTTAGTTTTATTTGTCATCTTTCCGATAATATTATCTGCATCATAATCTATATAACGGAGATGTGAATGCATATAGAAATGGTTGCCTTGCTTGGCTTGAGTTGCGCTTCGAATCTCAAAACAATTTCGGGCTAGATCTAACTTTAGGTCGCTTTGGCGGCCAAGCCCAAGGTAGCTCCGCCGTTCTCCGGGCGGGGAAACTCCCGTGCACTCTGGCGGTATTCTGAAAATTGTTTTCTTGTATCTTTTGGGGACAATAGAGCTTTAAATTCTTGTGAGGTATTCTCGGCATTATAACAAGAGACCAAAATTCGCTCCTAACTAACACTGAACAGTGAGAAACACACAGTAGACTAGGCTAGCGTTTTTCCGTCAAACTTTTCCAACTGTGACTGTGAAAGTGTGAGTGTGGGATCTGGAGTGGGAGTGAATGTGTCTGTGACTGTGCACGTGTGAGTGTGACTTTGTCCTTGGTAGACATATCACTGACGTATAAGCTTATCATGCGCATTATGTTACAACATGGGTCCTTTTGATATAGGCTATTGCTGGCTGCCATTCACTCAACGATATAAGATATTTAGTGCGAGGAGCTAGTAGGGAAAGCTTGCGATTTTCTGTTTAATCTGTTTACGACTTGTGTTACCAAAATCATGACATTCCAGTCAAATCTTTGATTTTTTTTCTTCATCATCCTTAAAAAGTTGAGTAGGCCCTACACCTGTAATTTCACTTAAGTTTAAGTCTTACTAAAGTTTGAAAAATTCTCATTTCATCATATTTAACCAGAAATGTTTGTCAATTTTTCTATTATAATTTTTATGTGTGTGGCTATGCTGAGTGTGCATCAGTTACGTGTGAAGTGTGTCACCTATTTAAAGCATGACATGTCGGTGTGTTTTGTAATATTACGCATTGTCATTGTCATTGCGCTCTCTGCTTAACTGAACTTTAAGTGAGCCCTCATTTAAATTCGAAACCGCTCGATCGGATCATTTATTTCATTTTGTTATAGTTTTCTTGATCTAGGCCAATTTAGGGAAAACATTTTTATTATAATATAAATATAATATGTCATAGAGGTCTACACTAAAATACAATAAATTTCCATTTCAGGGAGTTTAACCCAAGTTATATTAGGGATAGCATGACCTGATTGATTGACCTCCAATAGTAATGTCCTGAAATAACTGAAATCTGCTACAACTACTAGTTCAACTAGATCTACAAGCTTGAATGGAAAAATTATATGTGGAATGTGTCCATGGAGGTTTTGTGAATAGATGCGCTGCATTAAGTTAACGCAGTACATCGATTAAAAAAACCGTCACAAGTACAACGTACTACAAGTTCATCGACATCACATTGAAATGCATGTTATATCTGATGCACACGTATCAATGGGAATTTGTGCCCTTTTACTGATGAAGTTTTTGTGAAATGCTGCCCTCAGATGCTAAAAACGTTCAAATAATGAATTCCTACTAGGTACCCATTTACTTCTCCTGGGTGGAGAGTGTCAAATGTAATAAATGTCTTGCGAAAGGACTTTTAATGCTGCGGTGGGAATTGAACCGTGAACCTTGTGATCCACAGTCCGATGACATATCCACTAGATCACAACACCTCTCTTTATTTTCCCTATGATTTCAGGATTACTACAGACATGGATTCTGCAAGGAGAAAGAAACGCCGTTCTCTGGCTTCAGATGATACCGTCACTCCCAGGACTCTGGTAAGGTTCTCATATGTTTTGTGCAATTTGTGAAGAACCAAGAGCATTGTATGGTGTACATGCTGCATGTTGATGCATTTGAAGAGCAACCATCAACCTTTGTAGCAAATTGCTTTGAAAGAAGGCAGAAAATTTTGAAATAAAATCAGGAGGTAAACAGCAAGAAAATTGTAAATGTTTATATGTTGAACAAAAAAACAAACAAAATTCATCCTCAAGCAAATTACACATTCAATTGATACCATGGTCCATGGACCAGTAATGCAAATAGGTGAGTAAGTTTTATTCAGTTGCAGGCTGATTGTTAGCTCCTGGAGCCACAACCTTAATTACAAGCATAATGCTTCCAAGGTTTCCTCCTCATTACAGATAATTGTTAGCATCATTTGTATTTAATTACTTGCCGTCAAATCGTTTTTTTTTAATGTTGGTTTTATCGATTATATGTACATATTTTGTTACCTTGTATATGACTTACTTTGTAAATTCTTTTCATATGCAGTGTGGAAATAAAACCTTTAAAAAAAAAAGGAATTTATCATGGGATAGATACCAAAGTCTTCAGGATAATTTAACTTGTTTCCAGTGCATTATTTATCTTAACTGGTGTTAAAAGGTTTGTCATGGAATTTAACTAAGACCAGAAATGTGTAATTTCTACAGAGCCTTAGTAGCACAAAGCAATCATTCCATTAAATGGTGCCTATTGTTTTGTGCAGAATGTGGCATATCAGCCACTGCTGACAGGCAAAGAAAGCAACCGAAATGTTAAAGAATAATCATAGTATTCCCTCCATCAAAAGTTTTCCTTTCATTGATCCTTTGATATCTTGTGCCACAGATCCAGGGGTTCCTCCAGACGGCACAGACAGTTCGTCAATCCCCCAGAAAGAGGGCCCGGGTGACCCCTAGCTCCTCTCGTACCCCTAGAGCTGACCCCTCACCGGCGGCCCAGCGCAGGAAATCCAGAACCCCACGCACCCTCCCCAGATCTGCCCCATCAAACAGACTCAGATCCAACAGGCTGGAGACCTTAGCAACTCCTGGTGGTAGCAACCCAACACCAAGGGGGCTCATCACTGGATTCCTAAAAGCAGGTTAGCTCTTTTGTTCCAATAAATTTAGATTAATTGATGTGTTTGGGATCGTGTGAAAGCAAGAGATGCTACCAATTACACTTAAACTACCGGTACAAATTTGATGTGGTTGTGAGTATTGACTTGTTTATCAGCCCAAAAAGAATTGAAGAAAAAAAAAATCATACCATACTGTGAACCATACATTTATCAGCTATACATTTTAGCAGTCTTAAAGATGAAGTTGAGTCCTGGTCATGCGATTGCATTGTGAAAGAAACGTTGTGGAACCGACCAGAAAAGGTTGATCATCTAGCATATAAGAATTTGTGTGTATTGCAAGGTTCTGGAATCATCAAAATGATAAGAAATGTGGCAAAGTCTTGGTAAAGTTACAAACACTTGCACAGAAAGATGTACATGGGACTACACGAACACGTGGCGTAAAAAGCCGGCCCCCCGATTTTTACGATGTTACATGCATATTTAGAATATGAAGGCATTTGAAGAGCCATGCTTTTCAGGGAACATGTCTTAACTGATGTTCTTCCACACTTGCATAATAAGAATGAGTAATGCTCACAAATTATTTTTCACCTCTTCCCAGAACTCAACCTTCTCTTTAAATTGTACATGAAAATGGAAGTCCCAAAACAACAAAAAACAAACAGAAATTGGCAAAAAGCAGATTATTTACTGGTCCTATTGGTAGAGAATTAACGTACCCGATTCTTGGTACCGGTATATGTGCAGCTTTGTTTGTTAATTTGTTTACAGAAAGTTTTTAAAAGTTCGCCTGGATATCTTGTGAACATTCATAACCCATACTTTGACATGTATTTATGTAAATGTACATGAATAGGAATGGGAAATTTAGTTGAAATATTCTCTTGACTGCAGCTGACGTCCAGACACCTGCAGTGCATGTCGGCACCAGGAGATCTTCACCTCTTAAACAACCCACACCTGCCACCCGCAGGAGTGTCCTGCAAGCCAGGGCTGAAAGGTAATGCTATATGTTGACTGTATTATGTGAACCTTGATGCAGACCTCCATATTTATTTATATAAAAATACATACCTTATAGGATGTCATAAAAACAAAGCAAAATGTTCCTGTAATGCCCCTTAATGTTACAGTTTTTTAAATATTGGGGCTTTCTGAATTCAGAGGATCATTGAAGTAGTATACCGGTAAGTGTAAAGCTGTGCTCAAAATTACAGATTGCCTTGCCTTGCACCTTTTTTTCTTCAATTCGGTATAAAAGTGATAATTATGTAAGTTTATTTATTATTATTATTATTATTATTTATTCAGCAAAGGAAAACATTACATATCAGTGTACACAATACAAAATAAGACATAATTATCAACCATTGGAACGCCAGGGACAGAAAAAGTCAACTAAATTACTGTGGCATAAAGCCTCCTGTCCCAATTCCAATGGATGATTTACATAAAACAGAAATAAGAAGTTTAGCCTTGGGTTACCTTCAAAGTTGAAAAGTAATTAGGGCCTATTAAACAATTATAAGTGATGGAATTAAATGCAAGATGCGGTATCATTATTTCAGATACATTATATAATATTAATCAATTACAAACAAATGTATAGGCTAATTAACATTTGACACATTAGCAATTTTGAGACATTAGAAATTTTTGGACATGAAATAATGAAATTAAAAAAAAGTTTGTAGTTAGAAATAGTAGAGAGAGAGAGAGAGAGAGAGAGAGAGAGGGGGGTGAGCGAGAAAGAAAAAGAAGTAGGAAGTTCTGTTATTAATCAATACTGAACATCTTGATAATTATTATTCAAAGTGATGAATGTCAATGAAAGTTTGTTTCATCATTGTAATACTTTGAATTATGATCTTGTCCTCCTAGCACAAACTCATCCTCCATAGAATCGCCCATCGACCATGCTCTATCGCGCTTCGCCAGACCTCCGCCCAGGAACAGGAGACAGCGGGCCATTGACAGGGAGGAGTTTGCTTCGAGAGTGAGAGATAGGATGGGCCAAGAGGAGGAGAGTGAGGTAACAACAGAGGAAGAGGAGATGGAAAGCTCCAGGGATACCTTTGCAAATAATCCACAACCGGATAGCATCACAGAAGAAGTGCATAATGTTTCTCTTGTAAGTTTAAGGATAAGATGTGACGTCATGAAAGCAAAATAGGCCTACATTAGAAACCCTTTTTAGAAAACACTTACAGTCAGCAGTTAAAAAAAGTTTGTTCCTACAGTTTTAAATCCAATATTGGAATAGAGAATAAGGGAAGTTATGGAGTGACCACATTTTCTCTCATTGAGTACATTGCCACACTGCCTATAATTATCACATTCTCACTAAAAATTATGTTTGTTTTAAAGTGTATAGCTAGAATGTAAAAAAATCAATGTCAAAAACTTAATCTGGCATTCTGTAGGTAAACAGTTAAGGAGTATGAATAAAGGATAAAATACAACCCTTTTGTTTAGGGCTTACACAGAACCCAAGTAGGATTTGGGTTCTGTGCAAGCCCTATTCTACGTGAGTGCGTACGTGTGCACTAATTAGTCTACTCCACAAGACATTTTACTGTGCACTGAGAAAGTTTTTAGATTGCAATACCGGTATGTCTTTGTAAGATTAATATTTGAAGATCATATTTAAATACAGTATAACCAGATGGGACCCCTTACATCAAGTGCATTGGTGATCGGTACAAGTAATCGTCAAATCCTTTCAGAACAGATAGCAGCAATAACTGACACTGCCCTCTTCTCTTCTTGCATGTAGCCAAGGCCAGACTCAACGACTAGAAACACCAGTATGGCTCAAGCCCCAGGTAGCGAAAGGTCAAATCGAAGTTCAAGAAGTCGAAGGTCACTCCTGGACAACTCATCGTTTCAAGTTCCATCCACAAGTACAGGAGCGGTTGTTCCAGCCCAGGACAGCTCAATGACAGAGAGGAGAGGTATGTTTGAACCCTGGGTCACTAAAACACTCTTTCTAAGCCCATTCTCAATGACTTTTAAACTGCATAACATGGCTTGTAAAACGTTGTGACCTTACGCTGTCTGCAGCATAGCAACTAAAGAACTGATACCAGTTTAGGGATGTTATCTTCTGGTATTACACATGGTAACCCTGTATTGAAAATTGTGATGTTGCTATGGAAAGTTCTATTGACCTGTCAGAAACCATGTCAATTGGTAATTCACATATCTTCAGGGCAGGATATATGTGGCTGCAGTATATGTCACTTTTTTACTTTAATTTGTACCCCAGCACTTAGAACTTTGATGTCTTCTAAGAATTGTATAACAGAATATTTCCATTGTTGTCTGATGCTTATAATGAATCCATCCATGTGTGTATTGGGTTTTTACAGACGTGTATCAATCCGATATGATTATTTACGTCTGGGGACCGACCTTTAACCGTCACCATCCCAAAGACGTGGCTCAGTTTCGAGCTTGCGTCATCTGCTGAATCAGTTTGTAACTTCCATTGTTAGCTGGATTACAGGCGCACGCCACAATGCCTATGGTAGTCTTTTACATCTGTCCTGTTGTATACCATATTTTGTATAGCATCCCATCGCAGTGCTTCCTCTCTTGAAGACGACTCTGCCTTGGCCCAGGCCACTCAGGAGACCATCAGGAGACTCTCCTCAAACACCGACACTGAAGATGAAGAAAGACAAGAATCAAGGACAGAGGAAGAGGATGAAGAGGGAGTAGAGAGAACGCCACAAGGTCGTGAAGCGGTTGCTACAATGGATGAGGATGAAGTGGTCCAGGACGAGGAGGAGGAAGAGGATATGGATCTTGATGAAGATGATTTTGACGAGGACAATTTCATCGCACCTACCCAACCAACACAACTAGGGAGCATTAGGAAAAGGTAAGCAACATAGATTGAATGGGAACCTGTGTACATTAAATATTATCATTATTAATGTTTTTTTGGTTGTTTTTTATTTTCAGGTTCAATGGTATGAAACAGATTACACCACTGATTTTTAAAATATAATTGAAATAATAGCCCTCATTCTACCCAAATTTCAACCAAAGCATAGTCTCAAATGTTGCCCCTATATCTAAATCAAAATGTCTCTTTAACTAAAGTTTGGTGCATGATACATGTGCAAGTTTGCCTGGTATATCACATTATGATCATGATGATCCACAGCACTTGCCATTTTATTATCTGTTTCAAACATTCAAAGGCGCCTGCTCCTCTAATAGTAATGGACCACACATTTGCTCAAAAAGATGGGTTTTTACATTATCAAGAAAATGTTCATGCCAATGTCATGCTAAAAGACAGTTAATCATGCCAAGAATATCTTCATTGATATGTCTCTCAAACATTTTCATAAGGAATATTGTAAATCAATAGGCTTGAATGAAAGTCATCTTTCAGCATACCTACCCTCATTCTTTTGGGGTGGGATTTCCTTTACTATTTTCATTCTAGTTCCAGAGCTGATATGGCATCTCCTCTCAACACACCACACCTGAGGGGTGCAGGCAGACACCCCACCCCCAGGGCCAAGACACCCGCCCCATTCAGAGAGGCTGCACACAAGTAAGTATCCTGAAGCAAGCTTAATATTTATGCAAACAGTGTATCTCTCTTTTTCTAGATGTTGATGAAATGAAGTGTCAATTGCTTGCACTGAACATGACTGAAGTAATGGCAAAAGTATAATCCTTGGAATTCACATGACCATTTTTTTTTACCACATGTGTTGATTATTTTATGAGTGATGTTTTGATTTATTTTATTTATTTATTTATTTGTCATGTTACAACTATTTGAAGACCCAATGGAAATAGAATATGACAGCGTGAATTGAACTTGTGTGTTGTGATATTAGAAGTATAGTTTAAGAATTAAACATTAATGATATGAAAGAAATCCATTAAAGCCTGTCTGTACTAGTTTGGCCAGGGGAGATTAGACCTCCCTGCAAGGTCACTGACAGGTGGTTATCTCATCAAATCAGCTCTCAATTAACATAAGAAAAAGATGATCATGGGGGACCAACAGGCACCGATTAGGCATTGTTTGCTATATAGAGGGCGCAAGTAGCTGTAAGTAGTGCAGTAGGGCTTAAAACACTTGTCTGGCAGCCAAACAATAATGTCAATCAGATTAACATGTATTGTTGTTTCACCTATAACTTAATTACTGATGCACATCGAACAAATATTCAGCTTTCTCTTTGTATCAACTTAGGAAAGACCACTTGCCCCTCCATCTTCGAAACCTCCCCAAGAAGCCCCCTGCAGGTGCAGGACGCTCAAGTGGACCCAAGGAGCCCACCCTCCCTAAGAGTCTGACCAGGGGTATCTTCACTCACTTCTCCAAGGCCAGAGTGCCTCGTAATGCCTTGGCTGCGCTGGATGAAGTGTAAGTAGCAGACATACATTATTAATAAGAACTAGTTGAACAAAATTGTTTGATCTAGATGAATGCTGTCATTACATTTATAGTAAAGGGGAAAACTGAATAGAAACTGTCATTTTGATTTTTACAGTTTAATTTCATCTCACACAATACGTTTTTTTTAATGCTCAATCTCAATTTTGTAATAGAAATGTTTGTATAGCAATTGTTAAATACTTTCTCAACTTTTTTGCTCAAACAACTTCCATTTTTTCTTCTCCATTCTCTCCTTCCCACCGTCTTAGTCTTTCAACATGAAAGTATATTATACCATTAAACTTATAACTTTGTTTTGCAATTTTGATTTCATCTTACCCATGCTAAATAATTTCTGCAAAGGTTGACTTACAATATGTAGTTTAGTTTTGTATATGTTTATATCTCTCTATATTTTTAACTTGTTTTGTAAATTGAACATTTTCAGCCTGCGAGCTGCTTGTTTGATGTGATTTGTCAATAAACCAAACCAATCCAGAATATTAGGGTTATTGCAAATTATACCACCTATTTTTGGAGCATTGTCTGATCCTGTCCATTTCTCTTACTTCTTCCACAGTTCGAGTAAGTACTTCAAGAACGTATCCAAAGACTTGATGGCGTACTGCAAGCATGCAGGTAGAACCACCATAGAGCAGGCTGATGTTGAGCTTCTCATGAAAAGGTATGTAGCTCTATTTATCAAACAATACTTCCTTCTTTTTTCTTCAAAACTATGCAATGCAGGGCAAATAGATGGCCGTAAGTTTGTTAGCATTAAATATGATTTAAAGGTTTTTGTATTGATATGATGATAACCTGTAAAGTTTGTGGAATTCAATTTATCCATCAAATCCTTGCTGCAAAATGTTAGCTTTGTTTAATGCAAATGTCATAAATTTCAGATCATCTCTCAAGGCAATCATATCCTTGCAAAAAGAGGAAATGTTTAAATTATATCAACACTGACATGGTGATAATCTAAGAGTGATCATTCATTATCTGTTTTTCAAGTTACGCTGAGATAATCTCAATCAGAATTGATAAGTTCTGATATATGTAGATATTAACACTATTCATACTAAAATATCTACAATGACTACAATTCATTCTATTTTTTCTGGTTTCCTATTACTTCACCAGGCAACGCCTAGTCTCGGACAAGGTACCTCTCCAGAGCCTGATTGAGAAGTACCTTCCGATGGAATACAGGGAGGAACTCATCCCAATGGCGAGGTCTGGAAACAAAGTCTATCCAAGGATGCCAAAGAAATGAGCTTCATGCAACTTAAGAAGAAGAAATGTGCAAGCCTCTGCTTGTCAAAGGACAATGTCCATGCAAAAGATGGCTTGAGAATTTTGCGAATCACTCATTGAAGGGAATTTAACAAGCAAAAATATTTCCAGCATGTCACATGTCGAATCACTCAAGTAAGCCCCGTCATATGTCACAATGGCATCTATACACTATAACAGTCGTCACAGGGTCATGCTGAGCAGTATGAGACCACATTGATCGTATTGGGGTACTTCAATATTATACCGCATCCATTTTTTTCCTAGAGTAAAATAAACAATGAATAATCATTCTTAGACTATCACCATTCCAGAGTCCATATTATCAAAAAATTCTTTGCTTTTCCAAGGATATCACTGCATTGAGAGGCACAGTCTGAAAATTATGATTTCCATAGAGCAAACTCAACATAGAATTGTTAGATGTTAAATTTGGCACCAGTTCCAACCATACAATTGTTTCTTGAATGTGGCCGCTTTGTTCACCCTCAAATAAAAAGAGTTTTTGATACCTATGCCATATCCTTTAAACTACAGAGATTTGCAGTACTCTTGCTTTCAAAGCATTAGAATAGCAAGTTGGTTGGTGTTGATCCTCTCGAATTTAATTTGATTATGTTCAGTTGCAAGAGCCCAATTTCCAAGTACCTTGCTCTCCCATCAGACCTAATGGAGCTTTCCACTTTCTCAATCAGCGAAGGATGTAATCTTTTTTTAAATGTTTTGTTCTTTAGGTCAAGTTGTTTCAATAGACTTCTTTCAGGTTCATTCAAAAAATTTGCAGAAAAACTCATTTACAGACTTTGCAAAACCGCTGCTAATGTAGAATGTGCGTAAAAATCCTCTTTCTCAGTTGGAGTGTTTGTCAATTGTCACCCCAGTGATGATATTGGCACATCCTTTGTTTATATTTAAGCACGTAGTATAATTTATCACTGTTTGTTACATTCAGAGTAAACTCACCATACATACCACATTCTGACAGACTGTAATATTTAAACACACAGGAATTTTCAATATTCACAGAGAGATTAGTTAGTTAGCTCTTTATTTTATTTTACATCACAAAATACATCAAGCCACTTGCTTTAGTTTTTTATATTATCATTCATTTTTTTCTAAATAACCATCAAGTTTTCTAAACTGTAGGAAGATTGGTATCCTTTGTGTAGCATGCCTTTCCAAAGGTTTTGAAAACGAAATACATAGTCTAAGCATTTAAAGTTAATTGTATATCAGGAGTTGTCTTTATTTAAGATATAAAAAAAATTGCACTGTATATTTTGTTTACCAGTACTTCTGTTATTCTTGTCATCCATGCACATAGTCTTCAATCTATCAAAGACAAATATATTCTTAATCCTCAATCATAGTCGATGAGAGATTACAGATTTGTCTCTATCTATCCACAGAGTATTTGGTATAGCACCTTCTCCTTGCAGTTACAGAGCGCTTCACAATTTGTACTACAACATGATATAAGGGTTGCTTGAACAATGGTACTGCTAGTTTATTTGCAGTTTATTTCCTTTTTTTTTTTTACCAGTGTGCAGTCAATGATTGAAACATCTGGCCTGAAACAAATGGATTCAAACTGCACAGCACAGGCCTGATGCAGGAACCACACCCATATTATAGACCTGGGCCCTGTCTTACAAAGAGTTGCGATTGATTGCAATCTCCTATCTCTTATGTACATAGTTGTGATAGAAATCAATCGCAAATAAATCGCGACTGATATCAACTCTTTGTTTAATACAGGGCCCTATTTGCTTATTTTATGTATACCAATTGAACAAAAGTTTATCTTGACAACTGCAAAGCTTGCAAGAGGTTTGTCTAACATAGCAACAACTAATGTATGCACAGTTTGTAATCAAGGATTCAGGAGAGAAACATACATCAATTGAAACACATTAGTAAAGAGGTTTATTTAATGAAAAATTTGGAAGGCGCTAGGAAGAGCACTCAAAACTTTAACTTTTCCTTCAGAAAATGAATGTAAAACCATTCCTTTGTTAATCAAAGGTTGATAATACCTGGGTACACAACATTTGCCAGAACAATTCACATACACATACATGTATTAGACAATAAGTAAATGATTTGGTTATGTTGCGTACAGACAAAGTGAGATATTGTCTATTAAGAGCTTGAGGCGAATATTATTACTCCTATATTTCCTTTTAGATGAGGGAGAAACTGACTGTATAAATACTGTATTTATTTTGTAAATATAAAACAAATTATGCTAGTTTTGTAAAGTGACTTGCAAAACGAAATAAAAATCACATTATCTTGCTATACAAAATGCAATTGGCTCATGAATTATTTTTGTTGTTTGACACTATATCCTTGGTGATTTACCACCAGGGCCAGTACCAAATGCATCATCATCATCATTTGTTGTTTCAAAGTCACTAGTTTCTTCAAGCGTGTCCAAACTATCATCAAAATCTTCAGCTTCAAAATCTTCCTCTCGATTAATGCTGTCCATTTCCAACTGTCCTCTATAGGTAATGTCATCCTCCTCTATTTTCCTCTTTATTTTCTTCTTTTTCTGGAAAACCTTGAACTTTTCAATTGAGTCTGTGATCGGGGAGAACCCTTCTGGCACGTTCGAAGATTCCTGCTTCTTGTGACTTGCAATCTGGGATAGTGCATCTGCATGATCAACTGCAAAGTAGTTGGGTCCCTTGTACTTTGATCTGTTCCCCTGCCCCTCTCTGTCCTCTTTGTCCCCTCGTTTGATAGTGGAACTACCCTGCCAGTGTAATACATCTTCTTCATGTGGGTCGTGCCATTCCAATCCATGGGGGTCTTTCGCTGTGAGAGACTCGTCGTCTCTTGGTCCATAGTCGGCTGTAGCAAGGAGATGGTCGATTTCAGCGATGTTGGCAGCTGCTTTGTCTTTCAAGAAGCAGACTCGAGGGACATTACCTAGGACTCGGAGGGAAATAAGAGCATGTCTGCAGAGAGAGAAATGGAGACAGACAGAGGGACAGGAGAGAGGTATAATAAAGAGAGAGAGTGAGACAGGGGGTGTTAGGAACGGGAGAGAAAAGGTGATGAAGAAAGTGTGGAGGAACACAGAGGATAGAAAAACCGGGAGGGCAAACGGACAAGAGATGGAGAGATTAAAGATGATCTTGAGTCCTGGTAATTTTTAAACAGTTTCTATTCAAAATCACACCAATTGTTAAGCAGTACAAATAAATGAATCTTGCTAAAGGAATTTGATAGAAATTGCAGAGAATTTGTTTAAATAAAAATTTAGCTGAGCAGTTTTTGTAACACAAGTTCTATGATTCCATAAGGAAGGAACAAGATACAAACATTTTAACAAAGAGACAAGATAGATGAAGCAGGGAAAAAAATACTCTAAAATTTTTTTTTTTGGGGGGGGGGCTACTTTTCAAACTTGCTTGGATGAAAATAACACTCTTTATTTTGTTTTGCATTGAATTCTATGCAATTTTGGGGGGCTCTTTTATGACTTTCGGGGGCTAATTTGCCCAGAGCCCCTGTGTATTTTTTTCCCTGAGATGAAGGTTTTTGTATGGGACAACATACCTGACTCTACCAGTGTATTTCTCAAGGATAGCCTGGACCTTATCATCACTCTCTGCGTTCCCTGAGGCTTGCCAGTATACTCGTGCTACACTCATGTCTCCTGCCATACGAACCTACAAGAAAAAACCACAGAAATAAATATGAAATTATAAGAAATTAAACACAAGCTGCAGTCTCTGTCACCATTTTAATGTTACCTAACGACGATAATAGCACAAACACGTAAAGGAATATTTCAATTCAAATCTCCTTACTACATTGAAAAAATGGAAAGCAACAAAATATCTTTTTTCAGGTGGTTTCAGGTTCTCTTCTGTGTCCTCTTTCCTTCTTATACAAAAGAACTTAGATTTTTCAAATAGCATTTTCTTTGTTCTAGAGGGTATATATATATATATATATATATATATCTTGATCCCTTGGAGTACCCACCACTAGAGCCATGCACTGACGTTGACAATTCAGTTGCAGAAACGGGAGAGTTTAATATTTTCTCTCCTAAATCAAATACAAACAAACTATGTTACTAAATTAAATAATCTGTTGAGCATGTTTATTTCAACAATTACTAGATAGATGTATGCATTTATCTTAAATTATCTTACTCAAAATGTTTTTGTTATAGTCTGAAACCCCTTAAAGCCCTTACAATTAACTAAAAATTTAATGATGATATCAACTTATCAAGGCATCCATTCTTTAAAAAAAAAATAGCAAGATTGCATGTACTCACTGAGAGAAGGGGTACCTCTAGCTGCTCCAACTCTTCACTTATGTAATTGGATTTGACCAGATCTACAATATGCTCGTACAAGATGGTGTTGTAGACTCGAAGCTTCACACTGTCTTTCTCATCCATCTTATTCTCAGCCTTCTTGGAGATTGGATTTGACACAGTCTAGCGAAACAAAGACACAATTTGTTATTTTAATATTCATTTTTGAAAACTATGGAATGAAATGAAACCAATCTTTCTGTACAAAATGCAGAATACATATGTAACAGGTCAGAAGTTTTCAACTAATTGATAATAACATATACAAATAAGTTTACAAATATCAATCCTAAGGTTACAAGGAATATGTCAAATTATTCATTAGCTTCATATCGTTATTACATTCTTTTTGTTTTTTTACTTTGATTCTTTTTATTTTTCTATATACAAAAAATAAGAACTTACCATCTTCCCAAGCTGACTGGGATTCATTGGATCAAAATAGAACTTCTTCCTGTGTATTAAAGAAGAAGAGAACACATTGAAGTCAGTTAAAAAGCAGCAAAGCCTCAAATTATGGAATAATATGAGATGATCCAAAAAACAGAGTTGCCAGATCTTCAAGCTACTCGGAAGAAAGAGATGTTGGCATTTTTTCCTCAAGACAGAGCCATTGAGATTTGTAATCATCAAATAGGATGAAGGAAAGAAAGCAACAGAAAATGAGAGACAAAATAGAGATTGAGAAGAGCCTATATTTTGTCCCCAGCAGCTCGATCCAATGCTGTTTTTACCTGCACTGGGAAATGCAACCTATCCTTATGACACACACTAGACCTATGTCATTTCAAAGTTCTGCAAAAATCTTCAAGGTTGAAGGAAGCAGACTACAAAGAAAAAGAAGGAGGAGGAGGAGAAGAAGAAGAAAAAGAGAATAGACCCTCTAGAACTTAGAATTAGAACTAGGTCTAGTCTATTAGAAGATGAAGAAGGTCGAAGAAAGAAGAAGAGAGAATGAAAAAAAAAAGAAGAAGAAAACAAATGGAAGGAAATGGTAAAATTTATTCTATTAAACAACAACAGGAAAAAAACATAATTCGTCACCGGCAAAGGTGTACAAAATACTGAACATGGTTATTAACGAATGGGACTGAAGTAATGTCACTTACTTTTTCTTGGTCATCATTTTCTCGAATTTGCGGGAGGAGAAGCCATGAACTTGCTTTTTATTGAACGACGCACTGGTACTGAATCCACAGATTGACACATTTCGTAAGTTTGCGGCTCCATAAGCAAACCTTGGTGTAAAAAAATGCCGACCATGTAACACCAAATTCCACAAGGGCGCTGCCATTTTGATTTATTTAGTCTTTATCTAGATAATTGTTTTATTTTCTTCCATCCCACCAACTTTCGACTTGATATTTGATTAAAAAAAGATATATTATTATGACCTAAATACAACTATAAACTATAGATTAGGCTCAAATGATATATGTTAAAGCAAAAGTTTTAAAAAAGTGCCTCTGTAGGAAATTGGCATATTGAATATTTTAGTATCAGCACCCACATAGACTCGAACTAAGACTGTGTGTAGTCTGCTTGAGCAGTCTACGCCGACCATGTGCATGGTACGGCAATGCTGTTGTCCGCACGCCTGAGCTTTCGGGTAAGAGTGCTAGTGCTACGTCTTTTGGGTGTATAGCTACGACAGGGCCAGGAAGTAGAATTTCGTTACATCTAGCCGAATGTGAACATATCATCCATCTGAACCTGAGCTTCTTAGTTAATTTTAAGACTAAATTTAAATTTCATAGTGCTAAGAAAGTCGAGAATGATCACCATGACTGAAATACCGATTGGAGCAAGTTGTTGGGCAGCGTTTGCGATTCGTGTTTTGCTAATTCTTTACGGGGAAATTCAAGACAGGATGATGGTTGTCAAGTACACAGATATTGACTATCATGTTTTCACAGATGCTGCCAGATATGTCACGCAGGTGAGTGAATTAAGATAAGGACAAAATGAGCTCACTGTTATCGAGAGAGAAAATAACAGTAATTAAGAGCCAACTGATAAAGTCGAAGAAAACTAAAACAAAGACAAGTCTTGAAAGGGAACAGAAAAAAAGAGCATAAAGGTCAACTGACTGATGAGTGATGGTAATGATTGCATGAATATAGAATTTAATTTTGGACAGAGATTTTTAAATATAAAGTCTATAATTATGTTGAATATTATAATTGGGCATTTGTACAAGTTTATTTTGCTGTAATTAGTATGAAGATTGTTTTTTTCATGTTAATTAAAAAGGAAAACATAATTAAAGAGAAATGTCACTAATTGAAATAAAAAATAATCATAAAATTTATATGATAATTTTGATTGAATTGCAAAGATTTTACCCTGCATATATCTTTATTTTATCATTCTATATAGGGTGAGTCGCCATACCAACGAGCAACCTACAGATACACTCCTATCTTAGCCTTCATGCTAACACCCAACATCTGGCTTTCTCCTCTCTTTGGAAAACTTCTCTTCTGCATCTTTGACATCATAGCAGGCCTCCTCATCTATGACATCATCCAAATACAGTCCTACAGCGTCCCCACGGCAACAAAGGGAGCCCTCGTGTGGCTCTTCAACCCGCTGACCGCTGCCATTTCAAGTCGTGGGAACGCAGAGTCCATCATGGCCGTACTGGTTCTCCTCGTCATCAGATGTCTGCTGAAACGTCAGACGAAGCTCTGCGCTCTCACCCTGGCTCTCTCTGTCCATTTCAAAATCTACCCGTTGACCTACTGTCTACCAATCTACTTCTATGTTACGTCTCCAAAGAGGAAATTTATTCATCGTTTCATTTGGACGAAATCAAAGAACATTCTTGAGAGATTTCTTGATCTGTTCTGGCCAACAAAGGAGAGGATAGAATTTGTAGCAGTATTTATTGTGACATTTGCTGCTCTGACTGCTGTCATGTATCACTGGTAATGCATGTATTTTTAATCATCATTAAATGTGTTTTATATGTAGTGTTTTAGTGAGCCTATGAATTAATTGCACAAATATCTTAGAGAAAAATATCAATTAAAATTTTGTGGTATTATATTTGGCATTTATTAACTGGAGCTATATATAATAGATTCTGTGATAATCTAGTCTACAGATAGGGGCACAATTTCTAGGTAGAAATGAAGGGTCTGCATAGGCACATACCGGGTATCCGCCCCCTCCCCCAGCAATGCCCTTGGCAGATTATTATTGTGAGTGAGAAACCTATTCGTTTGTACTGTGAACTGTATTTTAGAGCATTTTCTATCACACAGGCAAATCAAAGTATGATCTTTCTGTCCACACCTTTACCTCATCTTCATAGTAAATCATTCTCTAGGTAATTTAAACATTCACCCCCTGAAAAAATTCTTTGGGATTGCACATCCCCCCCCCCCCCCCCAATTTAAATGAGAAAGTACCATAAGCAGAAGCAAGTATCAATATTTCTTCATGGAAAAGCAATTGAAGCTAATTTACTAGATTTCAGATTTGATACTTTATAGCTTTTAATTGATAAATAACATATTATGATAAATATTTCTGCGTATTGTTAGTGTTCCTTCATTCTATCTTCACAGGTATGGCGATGAATTTCTTTCCGAGGCCTACCTCTACCACGTCACCAGACGAGATGTCAGACACAACTTCTCTCCTTTCTTCTACATGCTCTACCTGACATCGGACTGGTCATCGTCCTTCCTTCTAGGTCTCCTAGCCTTCGTTCCCCAGGTCGTTCTCCTGGTCGCCTTCTCACTCGTCTACTACAGAGACATCGCCTTCTGTTGCTTTGCTCATACCTTTGTCTTTGTGACGTTCAACAAAGTCTGCACCTCTCAGGTTTGTAGTCCATTCAATTTCATTTTGTTCTACTTCTATGTTTCCCTCCTTTCTCTCCTCTTTTCAGCCAGGAGAATGTAAATATTTTGAGACATACCTAACAAAAGCTTCTTTCAATGTATTTTTGTCTGTGCTTTTGAATTATACTCATTAATGTTTTATAAACTGTGAAAAATACACTGAAGGAAAATGAATGTTACTTTGAACTTAAAATGTCATGTCAAAAGATAGTAATATTAAAGAAAAATGCTGTGCTGATTTTGAGAAGAAAGATTACAAAAATCAAAATTAGTCTTAAAATGATGATTTATCTTCTCTTTTCCCATGCAGTATTTCTTGTGGTACCTGACTCTGTTGCCTCTCATCTTACCAGCCACTATGATGTCAATCAAGGAAGGAGTCTGTCTGATAACTGCTTGGTTTCTAGCTCAGGTATCTCACATATTCCTCACTGTTTTTTTTATTGTATTTTGATAAAACACATGTTTCTGTGATCAGCAAGAAGTGATCAGTGTATTACAAATGATGTTTCAAGTATACAAACTATACAGAGGTGTTGGGGGTTCTTCCCAGATTGATTGTCTAGATAAGTGTATAATAGTCAAGTTAGATGGACAGGGCTATGAGCAAAGAAATGCTGGATAGAGTGAATAAACAAAGGAGCTTAAGAAAAACAATCTGGAGACGGAAAACAACAAATAGATAGGACACATGCTCATGCAGGGACATCTTGGAAGAGAAACAGATGGTAAACAGGGAAAAGGGAGACCAAGAATGTAGATGGTGTCAGACTTGGTAGAGGACAGAATAATATATGATAGAGATAGAGAGAATGGAGATTGGAGAAGGAAATAAACAAAGAATGCTCTGGTGTGAAGACCTGTCTTTGGCAGAACACTTGAGAGAGAGTCAATTAATTTTGGATCAACATGCATGTCTAGACGGCTGTTCTAGTTCTTGCCACCATCTGGAATCTATTTCAGTAAGAAAAATTTACTATAAATGCACATAACACTTAGGAAATTTATTTGATGATATACTGCAAGTAGAAAAACTTCCAAGGAATATTGTTTTTGATAACATTAATAATTGCTTTTAGTTGTTATATCCCTCATGTATTGAACCATAGTGTTTCAAATATTACTCTGACTTCAACTAGGCCACACATTTGTGTGCTTCCAGCATTCAAGAAGCTCCTTCCAATCAGGTACCTGTTTACTTCACCCGATACTAAACCTGGATGAAGTGTGTCACCTTTTATCATTTCCAGGTAGACCATTTAATTAGTATTCCACAATAACTTGCATTTTTAAATTCCCATTGTGTATGTGATAGTAAGTTGTTAATTTTCTATTTATCTTAATGCATGTGATCTCTCTATATAGGCTTTATGGCTCCTGCCAGCATACTACCTGGAGTTTGAAGGCAAGGATACGTTCATCTTCATCTGGTTGGCTGGACTAACCTTCTTCTTCACCAATGTCTACATCTTGGTTCGTCTCATCCTCACCAGGGAAACATTCACCCAGAACAGAAGGCTCAAAACAAGCTAATATATGGAACTTGGGACTTGCTCTTGATCAGTTGACGCTTTCAAAAGCACAGTATAACCTTCTCATCTGGTTGGCTGGACTAACCTTTGTCTTCACCAACGTCTACATCTTAGTTCGTCTCATCCTCGCCAGAGTTTTTTACTGCAAATTGGTGCAACTAGAAATTTGTCGTCAAAGATTCTGAAGTTATCAGGATCTCAAAATTTGATGTCAGATCAGCTTGCCACACAACTGATGAGGAACTGTCCGCAAAATAAGGTCGCACGCGAACTATGGTCACACCACCATACTTGGGCACCAACTCCTGGAACAAAACCTACATTGTGGTTAGACCGGCACAAGCCTTAGGAAGTTATGACCCCAAAATAGTATACTACAAGTATTTACAATTAGGGCTATGTATCTGTTTAGTAAGAATGTTTTGAAGCCAGGCTTGCCTTAAAATTATTGCATCTTATGTATATGTTTGAAAAAGATTATCCCTTCTTGTCTTGGGCAAAGTAGCACCCTTTTGTCAGTTTGACAAGGATTTTGAACAAAATTTATTGGTCAGAAATAGCATTCAGTATATGGACATGTGGGAGTATTGTTAGGGTGTTTTTTTTTTTTTTGTAGTCCATAAGATGGCATGTTAAATGTAATATACACATTTTTTTTCAAGGTCAAGAATTTGTCAAATGTTTTGTTTTTGGTACATATAAATGGTTTAAGAATAACATTGTATAATTTCCTTCATCCCTCCCTGAAAGCTGTAAAAGAACAAAAAAATGGTCAGATTTATCTGTTTGGCAAGGCAATTCTTCAACCTCCTTGTAATAGAGTGGTTCTCAAAAGATTTCTTTGCATCCTTCATTCAAGTTCTTCTCTTTTCTACACACAAAATTAGCTTTTCTGTTGAATAGAGGCAGAGAAACAATTTATTATTGGGAAAGTTATTATTACTATGTAACCCAGCTGTAAATTTGGATCTCTGAAGCAAATTTTAATGCACTGGTGTTTTACCCTTGAACAGTGTTTCAGTGTTTTAGAAAGTAAATCCCTTTTTCGAACACTACTGTATACCTGATGATCATATATCTGCAAGTACTCCTAAACAGAATAGGCTATTTAACAATACCTCGTAAAATTGAGGTCCAGCTAGCAGTGGCCATCCATTGCAACGGATAAAAGAATGCTATAGCTCCATTGTTGTAACTCATCACTAGTGTATATAGCTGTAATATCCTTTGGCAAGATATTAACCTACACTTGCTACTCTCCACCCGGATTTTAAAATTGGTACCTGGCAGGATGCGAACGTCATTGTTGGCCAAACAGTTTTTGAGCATCAAGTAACGCCTGGCTGAAATGCCCCCCAAGGAGTGGAGATTGTGCACACAGTGTGTGCGGGCAAGCACTGAATCCAATGACCGGGGTAATATTATATCTGTAAAGCGCTTAGAGACGTCCAAGATGTTTTAAGCGCTATATAAAAGCTGAATATTATTATTATTATTACAATAGCCCCACATACCAGTGACCATGAATTGTCAGTATGCCTACACAGAGTATCATTGCCTTTGGCAGTTGAGACTTTAGCTGATTTCTGACCACTGAGGATGCAATGCCTCCAAGAGAAAGTATCTGACTAATACTGTGATATTGTAATGGGTGAGTAACTAATGGTTAACCTTGACATGTTAACGGTTAAATGGAAATCCTCAATCTGCTTACACTTATACAATGGGATCACTAGGGAATATTGCACAATTAACCTCTGCATGTTAAGGATTAAGCACATCGATGGACTGACGCAAAGAGCACTACATGGGACCGCAGGGGAATATTGTGTACCTAACCTCTGCATGCATAGGGTTAAGCACCTTGATGGACTGACGCAAAGAGCATTACATGGGACCACACAGCAACATTGTGTAACCTCCGCATGCTAAGGGTTAAAAACTTTCCTTGTTTACATCCGTACAAACCACAGAGGCTTCAGCTAGCTAGGTCACCCCATCCGTTGACAAACTTGATTAAAATCAGAGAAAGTCATCTTCCTATCCGACTGAAGAATGCTGCATTGTTCTCAACGAATCCAGATTATGGTTAAGAGTCATCAGTGCTTTGTCAGTTTTCTGTGTGACTCAGTCTTGTGTTGAAGCAAAAAAGGCTTGTGTATCTGTGCTAGGTAGGTATAGTTTATGCAATCACAAGCAATTCCATCCATAACAGATATATTCTTATAGATTTGGTCCGAAAAGGAAGGTTTTGCATTGCTCTTGACAAATCAAGATTATGGTTTAGAGTCATCAATGCCTCAAGTTTTTTGTATGACTCAGTTTTGTGTCAAAGCAAAAAAGGATTTTGTATCTGTGCAAGGTACATAGTGTAACTGCAATTACAAGTAATTCCAGATGTAAAAGATATATTCCTTTAAATTTGTGGAAAAAGGAACGGTTTTGCATTGTTCTTGGCAAATCAAGATTATGATTAATAGTCATCAGTGCTTGAGAGTTTTGTATGACTCAATCTTGTACTGAAGCAGAAAAAGGCTTTTGTATCTGTGTTTAGGTAGTGTTTGCAATCACAAGTGATTCCATCCATAAAAGTCATATTCCTTTATATTTTTTGGGAAAAGGAAGGTTTTGCATTGTTCTTGGTAAATCAAGATTATGGTTTAGGGTCGCCAGTGTCTTGAAAGCTTCTGCATGACTCATCATCATGTCTTTCACATGTAACCAGCAAGGCATATACATGTAGATACAGAGAAGTGAATGTACTGAACAATATTCTTGCTATTTTGAATATTATTTTTAGATATTATTCATTGTTGATTTTACAAAGTAGTCACCAACAACCAGCTTTTAGTTCAATATAGAAATATGTTTGTCAACAAGGAGTATTGAGACAAAGCTTTTTGAGGCTCTCAAGAGATGATTTGTGAAAGATGTCACAGTTTTTTGTTGCATACATTATTTCTATCATACGTACATGTACTAAAATAAATTGGGGGGATAGAGCATTTGCATCAGCAGCTCCTTCTTTGTGGAATAATTTACCTGTCTCTTTTTAGACAGCCAACATTCTTTCTACTTTTAAAATTGGGCTTTAAACTCACCCGACGCTTAATGCATATATTGTTAAATTTCAAAGTTCTTTTTATACAATGCATGCAAAACAAACGATCACACTGTGCCACATTGTATGTACCTTGGCACATTGAAGTTGTGTTATCTAATGCAAGTTAACATTTAATATTTCTTTAATCTTAAGTATGTTGAATATTAATTTGAATTATTTGTATGCGCCTTGAGCATTTCTAGAGATGGATATGTTGCGCTTTATAAATATTATTATTATTATTATTATTTATTATCATCTGATAACTTTTTTTAAAGACATAAATGAGAAATCTCCAGTTAACAACTAAATTATTCATACCCTTATCAAGTTTTGTTATTTTTACGAACCGGTATGTGAAAAATTGATTGGTACTAATTTGTGTCTCTTGAAAATGTGACATATTAAAGCTTACATCTAAAAGTATTCGACAAAGGCCCTCGTTCAAGCAGTCCACATTTCATTCTTGAGTTAAAACACATAAAACATCAAAATTACAAGGGGTATAAATACTTAAGGTTCTTAGCTATATCAATGAATCTAAACCGTACTCTTGAGTCAAATAGAACATGGCATGGTGCCTTTCACCTCAAACTCTTCATTCTGAAGTAAGAGCTAGTGTGAATCCCTGCTTTATAATGTTAAGCACAATTGCACATAAAGCCCATCACACACTACGATCTTCCTGCGATCCAATTTTCGAAGAAATGGCAATTATACTAGATAGGAAAGTCTAGACAAACATCATAATTGTGATTTAGGTCCTATATAATAATACAAACAACCAGAAATTTATTGCATTTAACTCTCCTAGTCAAAATAAAAGCTAAATTGGCTTAACATCCTAGACAGTCGCAATAGAGGAGTGACGTCGCTACGATTTTGGGCTGATTTAGCGCTTTCCTCATCCAAGGAAGCTCGAAAATTCCATGAAATTTAGATATTACTAATCAGACAACTGTTTAGATATTCTGTCGTACACATACAAGTTTAAATGTTCTCATCAAATTCTTCCAAAATCGGATTGTAGCCAGATCGTATAGTGTGCGGTAGGCTTTAGTCATAACTGCTAAGCAAGTTGTCAAATGAGCTAGAGTGGTGAAGATTTATACTACACTGCTTTAATCATATCGTCTGATTTCAACTTTCTGTTCATTCTTGCGATTTACTCCGACAACGGCAAGACAAAAAGCTTTAGTATGTCTGTTTTCATCGCTGTTTTTAATTTTGCAGGACCAATCATCTCTTTGAACTGTTTTTATCATTTTGCTGGGTATCGTGTCAAATGGCTGCATGTTGTTAGGTACAAGGGATTTGGGGCAAAATGATTATATCCTGTTGTTGTTTACTTCAAGAAAAGACAGTCATGTAGTGCGTGTTGTGTTGTGCGAGGTACACAGTTTAGTGACTGTACAATGACCTTATCCAGGCAAGGGGGTGCATATTTGTTTGTGATAGGAGGGAGATGGGGGGGTGGGGGTTGGGGGGAAACCTCTATCTCTTGACATTCCACTCATTACAAGAGGAAAATAAGGAGTCATATGTTAAGATTGCTGAAAGGGAAATAGGGTCAATCTGTTGTGACACCCACATTGTTGTTGTTTAATTTAGGCAAGTCATGACCGTTATTGCAGAATACTATACAAAATTTGTTTTCAATTCAAATTTACGTATATACACTCATATAATATACCTGTATGTATATATATATTTATATATGTATATTTCTTCTTCTTAAAAAAAACATTATAAAACCATTGCAGAACAGGAGACTTTTTTATTTGAATGGTTATATAGGCATGTTTTGAAGAATGCAGCTAGTGTCAAAATCTTGGCAACATGAAAGAGTGGAAGAATTTGAGTACCACACAAAATAGATTAGGTGATAACGTGAAACA